AGGGAAAAAAATACCTATTTTTCCTTTGAAGTATCCCATTTATTTATGAACTGGTTTTCAACCCCTGTAACAGACTAAGTTGTCTCATACCTTTGTTTCCTTCTCCTATCCCCATTTCTGGGGAAAATACTTAAATGGTATGTATGCAAGATAAAAAATTTGTAAATCAGTTTTACAATATAATTTACCAATAGCTTCTTAATTCCTTATTTCTAACTTGAGTATTTCCTCTCTGTATTCAGTAGCACTAATAACTTTTCTAGACTGTGTCATTTTTAGATGAATCTGTCACATGGCTTGCATAACGTTGATGACGTAGCTAATTTGAAACTTGAACTCAAAATTTTGAAGACTGAAACCTTTCTAACCTAAAACCTTTTCTTGGCAAGCTCCATATTGGAAAACTGCGCACTTTTGTTTCAGCTCTCTTGCGGTGAAGATGCTACTTCGATCACTAATGTGCCACTTCACCTCTGCTAGCTATTGTCTGTTGTTCTAAAATGTTATACACTATATAAAATTGTGGGGTGCATATTACACCTATGATATGTGAAGAAGAATATATTTAAATAATTAGTGTCCAATAATAAAAATTGTTTGATTTTGGTCATGTCTGTCTACAAGTTTCTCTTTTTAGTGTCATCTTTCTAATTGAGTAAGGTTTTTCCAAGTTATAATTCTTTCACATTGAGAAAGGACCAAATCTATTTTCCTCAAGCAAAATGCCGGTGTATACGAATTTCTCTTGGAATAGTTTTTCTTCCTTCATTACAAGTAGAATGCTAGCAATAAACCTACTTAAGTAAAGCAACAACTTTTTTTTGGACGCTTTCACTGCTGTGTGCAGTTTCCTCTTGGGACAGGATTGCAATTTCAGGCATCAATATCTAAACATGACAGTAAATAAAGGAAAAAGAAGGTGCATTAAAATAACAGAACTACTTTTAGTCGCTTCAAAAGAATGATTGACATGTCATTGAACAACTCACAAAAGCAATGAGCAGTGCACTAATGTGTTGGGTGAAAGCACTATATAGAAAATGATTCAGGCTTTATGCGAAAGATTTTAGGCAGAGAACCATCGCCAATCCGTTGCAGCTTTCTTTAAGTCATCTTATTACACACATACATATATATATATATATGTGTGTGTGTGTAATAGATTAGGTAGAAATAAGAGTTTGGAGAGATTTATTTCATTGTAATAACTTTCAAAGGCTTTACTGCATAGATAGAAGGATATCACTGCAGCCAGATGTAGCCATATATTCACATAATTTTATTAAAGTTCTTGATATGCATGTTCAGATTTACATATCATCATGAGTGCAATCTGTACCCAATCTTCATAACATTCTTTGAAATTTACATCTTAAGACATACAGTGAAAGGTAGAGGAAGATAAGCAACAACATCCTGACACATAGCTTGCAAAGCAGAAGAATGACTTCTTATTCAGCATGGTAGAGAGAAGTAAGTGACAGCGTCCTGACAACATTAACATGCAAAGCAGAATGACTGCCCATTCAGCAGAATCGTGGGAGAGTATTGAAAGTTTTGCTTCTGAATAGAAATCGTATTCAGGAATTGGATAAAAGATAACTGCATTTCCAGTTACATAATATCTTAAGATTACATAAGATTAATTTTGAAATGACCCAGTTTAGATTGATATGTTATAAAAAATTACTATTTTTAGGACATAAAAAGAAAGCACCCAGTTCAAAATGAAGAATATATGGGGCAAATTAAAATTAGAAGTTTATATGTTTTTATTTTACACACACACACACACATATATATATATACACATACATTATGTAATATAATCCGTAATAACCTGATGATTGGGTAGTTGATGCAATGGATTGGAAGTAGTGACATCGTAACAATAGACAATGGAAAAAGCAGAAAGATGATTAGTACATGTAAGCAAGAGCAAATGCAAACTGGAAAAAGTAAAATACTCATTCAGAAGCATGGTAGAGTCAAGAGGTATCTCGATCTGTGATTGGATAAGAGCTGTCCACATTGGAGGATAAGAAAGCACAAAAGTTTCCTCTCTGGTATCAGCATGCTTAAAAAGGTTGCTGTACTTGTTGTGTGTTTAATATTCAGCTGTAAAGTATTTAACCCTTAGCACACTTGTACAATGTAATTTGTATGATATTAAAACTTTTAGTATTAAAATATACATGACCATGTGCTGCTTGGGTACTTACTAAACACTTTCATAACCTTGTCAAAAACTGTTAGAACAAGAAATATACAAATTTTCATTCAGAATAAAAAATATTCTAATTTTAATCACCTTCAGTTAAAAAAATATTCTACCCTGTTCGACCTGAATTTTTGTTACTAAATAATGAGACGTTTGCAAGTTCATGCCATTTGTATTGAAATAAAATGTATACTTAGGTATAAAAGTCAAAACTGTCATTTATAGTTTATAATTCTTTATTAATTTTTGAAAATCATTAACAGATAATAATCTGTTTTGTTATAATATGTGGTTATTTTCTATGTAGTATATTGATTCATTTTTGAGACAGAATAAACTTAGTTTCTTTTTTTTAAAGACATTTTACTGTAAAAGGTATTTTTTTTAAGTTTTTTTATTAACAAAATGAAAAATACTTTAATTAAATTTAAAATTTTACATACTAAATGTTTGTCAAAAAATATGTAAACAATAATAGTAATATCCCAAAGGGGGGGAAATGTAATTTATATATATATATATACTTTCTTTTCCTGTGTGAAATCTAAAGTTTGATACTGCAAGACATTTATGTTGGTTATACTTTGTAATTTAAATATTAAATTCTCTGTCGGACATTCATTTTAAATAATTCCAAATGTTTAATTGATCTCTCACTATAACTTGACACTGATTGTGTTTCTATTCTAATAAAGTCTGTAAGCTTGAATTATCTTCACAATAAATTGTAGATGCTCATCGATCAATAGGGCTTTACTTCATCAGTGTTTCATTGTCAAGAGAAGCTGGGGACAAGAAAGGAGGAAGTGTGACGTATTCAAGAAGAAATTTAAGTTTGAAAAGAAATAGTATCAATTTTAATACCTTTTGGCTGACCAATAAATAAATCTTTAAAATTTTATTTGGCTGGTTGAGTTTGAGTTTGCAAAACCATTTGCATCACCAGCATTATGTAAAAATCATATAATGGCAGCTGTTAATTTTGAAATAAGGCATTTGAGAGAGATTTATTGCAAGCAATTGCAATTTTTAGAACAGATAGGGGAAATACCCAAATTAAAACAAAAAATTAAGGTATATTACGAATTTGAGTCAGAATTTTGATTTACATTTTTTTTTATCTTATGCAAGATAATTTATCTTTCATTTCATTTGTTTATTTATTGCTTATTTTTAAAGTTTGTTTAATTTTCATTATTTATTGTTTTATTTACTTTTGCTACCATTTTAGTAATGTTTCATACTGTTTTAGTAATTTTTTACTTTAGAAATTACATTGTGATAATTGATAAACCTGTGGCATCATACTGAACTGAAAGGAAAGATAAATTTGTTATTTCCTTGAAATTACCTGTATAAATTTACACACTTACAAATGACATAAGTAGTCTCTTTATCTGTGTTGGCAAATTCACCAACAGTATGAACTTGTAAACTTCAATCCATTGCTTAAAATAGAAAACCATCTATGGGTTGATATGAAATTTTCATGAATTACCTATTCTTCATGTTTTGTATCATCAATAGTTTTAAAGTATTTGTAAAAACTTGGCCCTTTTCTTGAGTTTCTATCTGATATAGAGGAAATTGTTTTTTATTTCAATTTTTGGGTCGCTGTGGATAAAGCGGTTCTGTTTATTACTCAAGAGATTCTGGTTTTAGTCACTACTTTTGATGAATAAGAAATTGTAGCTTTATCTTGCATTTTGCATTGATCTTTCTTTTTGATCAATATTTGAACTTATCCATTCCTTTGCTATGGCCTGTTTTAGAAAATAAAGTTAGTTCTTCATAAAATTTGATTTTTTATCAAACTTTTGTTATTTTAAATGGCTATTAAAATTTTATTATCATAAATGATTTTACTGTAGATTTGAAAACTGAAGGTAATTTAATCTTAAAATTCATATTTGTCTGCTGCTTATTGCATACCTGAGTTACTCAAGTTCTCCAATGAGCTGAATGCTGCATACTCGAGCTTTTACTATGTAGTTGTACTTCAAAATTAAAGGCAAAAATTTCATATATTGTCATACTTGCTAAGGAAATATTTCAGCAAATGCATGCAATTGCAAGAATGCTTTTGTGTTTCTATTAAATAAACTGTAGGTATATAAAAAAATGAATTTAATTTACAGAAATACTATTGGTGCCTTTAAAGGGAAACTATTCTTTCTTCATTGTATTGTATTTTCTGCTGCAAAAAAAATTTTAAGAATCTGAATTGATACACTTTTGAGCACCGCTTCTTAAACTGTGGTACATGTGCATTATACTATCACTATATTTTGGTATTTTACAGTATTTTTAGTGGTACAGGTTTTACAAAAGTAAATAAAGGAATGTAAAATTGCACCCCTTTTAACATTTTGTTTTAATCTGTATTCGAACGATTTCTGGATGTTACGATTTCCAAGAATCGTAGCAGCACTCCAGTATACTAGTAGTATACTTATTTATATTTTATTGTAATGTAGAAATTTCATTTGTAAATATAATTAAATAATATAAATTTAAAGTTTCATTTGTAATTATTGTATAATTAAATAATAAGTTTAATGTTTTTATTCTTTGATTATATACACTCCATTTAGGATGTATTGATTTTTAATGGCGAAATGCTTTTATGGTGGTACATATTTTTTTTTCCATATTTATGTGGTACAAAATTTGAAAAATTTGAGAACCCATGCTTTTGAGTTTAAAATTATATAGTAGCAGTCTTGCAAAAATTTTATTGTATAGAATAAGGCAATGAAGATCTAATCCTTTTTTTTAGCACTGATGACAATGAATCATCTCAAAGTACTGATGAAGATGTGGATTTGGAAGAAGGAGAAATTCTGGATTCAGGTGCAGAAGAAGAGGAAGAAAAGAAAGATTTTACTAACAGTAAGATTTTGTACAATTAATATTCTTACTCGTATGAACAATTATTTTTGTATAATAATAGTTTGTATTATAGGTTAAGTAGTATTATTTCATTTTACTTAATTTATGTCACTGGTTGGTCAGAAAATGGTGTATTTTAGATGCTAAATTTGTTGAATTCAGAAAGTGGGTTATACCCATGTTCAAGTTGTCTTCAAAAAATAACTTGAACATGGGTATAACCCAATTGACATAACTTGATGTGTAAGATATTTGGGGGAGAATAATATTAGGTTTAAATGGAATTTACCAAATGAAGTAACTCTGCTTACAAATTTAACTTGTTAAGAGCATTGAAGAGCCATTTGGTATTTCTTCAAATTTATGATTAGTTCATTAAGGCAACAAATTGTTTTGATATATGAATTTTTGCAAGAAAGAAAATAGTGGGAAAAGAATTTTATTTATAATTTGCTATTGTTACAAAATAATTTGCAATAAAAAAGGGTACTTTTCTACTATATAATTTATGACACAAAATAGTTCTTTTCTGTTATCTGGGGGACTAGATTTAGTACACTGAATATTAAGTTATTGCATTGAAACATGTGTTAACCATCACAAAGTATCAAACTGGAAGAGAAGATGCAAATATGAAATTTTAAATATTTAAAAAAAAACTTTGAATTGACAAGAATGTTTTTTGCTCCTGAAGAAGGGAGAGCTACATCTGATCATCTTTGAAACTAGTCATTTTATTCAAAATATACAATTTGAAACTGCTTTTTTGCCTAATTTCAGCATTTAAAAAATAATTTTAAAGTTTTTTAATGCGTGGCTCCGAATTTTTATTAAACTCCATAGGCCTAAGGTCATGTATTCCTTAAGCCAAAAAGTGTACCATGTAAGGGCACTTGAGGACAGGAGAGATGATGCTAAAAAGCAATAAGCATTCTGACCACAAATATATGTATAAATAGGAAAAAAAAGGAGGTAAAGGAAAAATACCAGAGGGGTAATAAAAATGCGTTGTTTACCATGTGAGCCGTTATATGTAATATAGCTTAACACAGGGGTTCGCAAAACTCTTATATAAACAACATTGAGCATAATTTGTTTATTAATAAAATTTCAGTAAAATTAATAAAATTAATTTTTTACCGTCTGTAGTTTCAGAATTTTACAGGTAAACCATTTTCTTAAATTTAAATAATATTATAATTTTTATTTGTGTATTAGTGCAATCACCTTATCAATAAGTTTTCAGACGCCAAGTCAATAAATTTTCAGAATGAGCCAAATTCTGGTAATCATATACATAACAATTCTTTAGGCAATCATCCTCATTCCATTTCTTCAGTCAAGAACTATCACCATCTTTGTGTGCATTCTTTTTGTTGTATTCCAAGTTCAATAGTTTTTATAGACAAATTGTGATATCTTTTATCTTAAACTCGATTTTGAAATGCAGACGAGTTGAAATGCAATTTTTTGTGGAATTTCCTACAAATTGAAGAAACTATGGCAATGTTCTGCAGGAATACAGTAATTTGCCATGAAATCACTAAAGGAAACAATTGCTTTGAGTCTGTTATTAAAGCAATGACAATTACATTTCCATCAGAACAAAAGAAATATAAACTAGCTTGTAAGTAGATTAATTTATTGATTTTTAGGATAAATATCTAATTACAATGTGAAACGTATATTTCATAGTATATTTATGTGAATAATAAGTAAATGTTTGCAATCGAATTGAATGATTGTTTATGCCATCCTTTTTTTTTTCATCTGTGAAAAAATCATCAAGTTGACCCAAGGTGGGTTGCTTTAATACATAAATCCTTATAATTATGTACGTATTATTGTGAATATAAATATAGAAGAGTAAAACATTGTTTTCCATATCATTGTCACTGATGCATGCTTTATATAAACATCTGGCAATTCAATCTATTTTATATAACTCATTAATTTATGTGCTTAGTAAAAATGCATTCATTTAAAATGAGATGAGAACTAGCAGTGGAAATGTCTATGTATTTTTAATTCTTTGTTTTTGTAAATCATTCTAAATTATGGTGTTACTTTTTACTAATATCTTAAAATTCTAATTTTTCTAAATATGCCACTGAATACAAATGAATATGTCATTCATTTCTAAGGGCAATGAAATTTTTTATTTTGATCTCATAATTTCTAAACAGAACGAGAATTTTGAAAACTCGGGCATTATTTCAGTAATAAATTTCATTTAATAAAATTTTTATTTCTAAAAAAGTAAAAATTACATTAATGGAAGAATGCTAGATAAAGTAAAAAATTTATAATATGTTTTATGGGTATTAACAATTTTGTTCATTTAATGCCTAATCACACAGAGAAAAATTTGATTTTTGTCTTTTAATCAAAAACAAATGTGCGTTTTTATAAATGGCAGCTTTCAGAAATATTACTGGAATGTCTGATTTCATGTTTCATCTGAAGAATTATTATTCATTCATTATTATATATTTAAAAAACTGAATTCTTTACAGTGTAATTGTAGCTAAATTTAGTTTGCATGTAATATACTTACATCAGTTTCTGTAATTAGTAATTGATGTACTCTCTCTCTCTTTTTATTTTACATGTATTTAAACTATTGATTACATGTTAAGTATCATTACATTTTTAATTCCTGAGAAAATTAACAGTAATTGCTAAATCATTTATGTATATATTTACAATGTTTTAAAATACAAATTTGAATTAAGATTATGTATAATACTTTTTAGGCTCGTTAAAAGAAGCACTGGATAAGAGTTGTCTACAAAGTATAGAGCAGCTAATTAGTCAGTCCAAAAATTTGGATACTTCTCTACCTAAACCTTCTAAGCCAGTTTCTCCTCGAAAACTGGTAAATATTTTTTCTAAATCTAAGTTTTATTCTAATTCAGTCTTATTTGTAAAAAATAAGGTATCTATTAGAAATAAATATATCTTGTAAGTATGTAATCTCTCTCTGTATAGATGCTAGTGTAAGTTTTGTACAACTAATTTAAAATACAGAGTGTGTCAAGAGTCCCTAAACTTTTTTTTTTTTTAATTTCATAAAAAAATGAATTATTTGTTGCATGAGGATATGGTTTGCTCCAAAATTCATACCATGAATTCAATTTTTTCTGCAATAATAAACAGTAAGTAATTTTAGTAAAAATTGTATAAAATTTTGCAACAAATAGACAGCTTTGCACTTAACATCCTACTCTTCAGATGACATTTTACCAACTGCTATTTCCATATATCTTTCCAAAGAATCCACGGGATATCGTCGGCAGTTTTTTTCCCAATCCCATATGGTGAATTCTACCCTTTTATGGATATCACTTAATTCCAAGCATTGCCAATGTCTCTCACTAATTGTACTGTTAGATTCTCATTCTGTGCTGCCACGGGGTTTGCACAGGGTTTGGGCAGTGTTAGTATATCTTTGTTCCTTGATAGGCATATTCCCCAGTTTCCTTGAAATTTCACAGAAGTGTCTTTGTGAACATAAACCAGTACAGAAACCTATGACGTGCTGATGGTCTTTTTTGGGGGGAGGGAGGGGGTACCTGCTGCCTCCAAAAAAAAACATATTTAAAACATGAATTTCGGTGCAAACCACATCCTTTTACAACAAGTCACTCATTTTTATGAATTTTTAAAAGTCTAGTGCCTTTTGGTACAACTTGTATTTCTCAAAAATAGACTGACTAAAATTGAAAAAGTATATATAACATGTGGGAAAATTAAATTATTGCTTTGTGTAGTTTAATAAACAGTGTAATGACTAAATATACCACAGTAGTGTATTTGTCAGGAGTGAAAAGTTAAAATTATTCAAAATAAAATTTGCAAAGGGAAGCATAGAAATTTCATTGGAAAGGTAAACAAAAATTTTAACTTCTTAAAGCACTGTTTAAAATTTACTTCTGCAAAATTCTTTAGAGGTGAAAACTGATTATTTAGAAAAGGGATTGCTTCTGCCTGGTCTTTTATTGCAATCTTTAAATCTTAATTAACCTTTTGATGGTCATCAATGAGCTCAGCTCGCATTCCAGCTACACACTGCAATGGGCACAAATGAAAACTGCTCGCATTACAAATTTATGACTGACAGATATCGTACATATTTGGGAAGAAAGAATTGCCTAATCTCGCAACCGTCGAAGGGTTAATTAAGGAAATTTAGGAATTGATACTACCTACAGCCTTAAAACTATTAACTCTTGAAGGCTCACAATAAACATAAATTTTATTTTGGAAAGATCTATGATAAAGCCTATCCTCCATACAAAGCTGCTGTTTAACAGTTAAATCCAAACGATAATTTTGACAAAGTATATTATAAATCTCAGTGACATAAGCTGCTTTTAAACAAAATTTTTCACTTTCATTAGGTGACTGCAAAAATTTTGTATTAGCAAATGTTCTGTGAAGCAATTTAAGCTCTTATTCTCTTAGATTTTGGCACATTATGTTTCTTCATTTTGAACATTAACAGTTCTCATTTCATTTTTTATTAATTTTATAGATGGATATATAAAGTAATAATTTATTGCAATTGCATTGCTTGTATGAAAGTTTTAATAGGGAAGATGCATATTTATTTCCATAAAATTATATTTTCTTAATTTTATTAAAAAATAATGATGATTAAAATGTTTTAAGTTTTCTGTTGAGTATGATTTGTTTAGTTTAATGATCTTTTCTGTTTACTATTGTTTATTAAAAAAAAAAAGGTTATCAAGAATTTTACCAATGCCTCGCTATAAAAACCTTAAGTGTCAGGCAATTTTAGTATCATTAAGTCAGTGATAAATTTAACAAGAGAATTTATATAATATTTTTAGGTACTCTTCTGTTATCAGAACCAAATTCAGACATGTCTGCATATATGTGTGTATGTATGGATGTATGCATTCATTATATGCATGCATATAGGCAAGTATGTATGTATGTGTATGCATATGTATGCACATATATGTACATACATCCATGTATGCATTTCTGAATCTGGTCCTGATAACAGAAAAATACCTATTTTTATTTATTAATAAATGTACATATAAAGTGCTCCCTCCCAATGGTACTAAATACAGTGTAACTGAATAAAAGAATTTTTTCATGTAGATTTTTTCTTTCATTCTTTCTATACCTAAATTTTTATTTTCAGCAGAATAAACTAGCTGCAAAATATATGGATCATGATCAGATTCTAGATAATTCAGATCAGGAAGATGGTTGGTATCCTTCTCCTTCAAAATACAAGCCAAAATTTGAAGAAAAACCAATTGATTATCGCATGGAACTTGCAGCATACAGAGGAACTCCTCCTAGTTCCCCTGATCATAAAAAGAAGTATGTATTAAGTGTCTTGACACTCTTAATTGAAAAATTTTCATACTGTTTTTAATATTGAATTAAGTATCTGATTGCTCATTCTAAATGTTAAGCCTTTTATTCCCTTGGCCGAAAGTATTGGCATTTGCATATAAGGCCTGGTTTACATGTAGTGATTTTCCCAGCCAACTTTCTTGTAGAGCAGAAATTTTAAGAATCTGCGCATGTGCCAAAAATCAGTCATGTTCTCTCCATGATTTCAGATCCCAGTGTTCCCTGCTCACTAGCATATGATAAAATCAGTGTCTCTAGCCAATAAGATTGCTTTGAGCGATCACATGCTTTTCTCCTCATTTTGGAATAAATAATAAACGTACTGCTATTTCGTTAGAGCGAAACTCAAATTTTTCAACTGATAGATATTTGTAGAGAAAATGTTGTATTATGGGACGTAAGTAATGTAAATTTTAAAAATAAAAAATTAAGGAATTTCCTTATTTTGATAAGTTTTATTTTCCCTGTTACTTTATATATTCAGATATTTTCTATTTATGGTGAAAATTATTTTATGTAGGTATATTATCGTGTTGAAAGTAAAAATTTGCAGAAAAACCCAGTTTTGTGTTAATAGATGCAAACAAATTATAGCTCAATTTAATACAATATTGCATAATTTTCTTTGGTTATTAACTGATGATTTTATTTGGTTATTAACCATATGAATTTTTCCTTTGACCCAATGTCTGGTCCAAACCCGTTTTCTTTTTTCTCTTTTTTCTTCTTCTGCACCAACAGCAAAGATCAAAATTGCAGATGTTGCTAAAGCAACAATTAAAGGGAAATCTTCATCTATTATTTTGATTATTTGATAACATCGTAAGTTTTGTTTACACAATTGTAGACAGTGTAACGGAATTCTTCCTTCACAGTGATTGGTTGAGTGAGTTCCTGTACTACCAAAAAAATTTTTCAGTGTGGACAGGCGAGCTATCTCAGATATTTTTGTAACACAAAGTCGGCCAAGAAAATTGCTATATGTAATTATTAATAATTTGTAACATAAAATTTTTCATCCTATACTACCATGGAGATATGTTGCTATAGAAAAATTATAGGAATTTCAACCAAGGAGAAATAGAAGATAAAATGCCTTTTCACTTAACTAAATCTATTTAAATTTTAGACAAAATACAATATTAATATAAATGTTGTAGGCTTTTAGAATTTATGATGAATATTTTCTCATATAATGCATTTTTATTAAGCAAGTATCATGCTTGATTTCTTAAAAAAAAAAAGGGGATACTGGTAAGATAAGCATGTTAGACCATTTAGAAGAAGATTGCGCAAAAATGTGCTCCATAACCAAGGCAATGTACCATAATGTAAACTGACTATCCCAAAACAAAAATTGCTTGAATTACATTTTGAATATATTACCGATCCTCTAATTCTCTAAACTTAAACTTATTCTCCTTCTGAATTCCTATCCTCCTTCTTATTATTATTTGAAATTATCTTCAAATAAGTGTAACATTATGTGCATTGTTATCTTTGACGAAAAGTATTTCTCTAATAGAATGAAAAAAGATTGCAAACTGTTAAACTAAGTGTATAATTCATTATAGAGATAATATTAAGAAATATTATTGATTTGTTTCTGAAAATAGATGTTTAACATAGCCTGTTTATTAAATGACTTTCAAAATTAATGATATGTCATCAACTGTCACTGTAAGAATTTTGAATCAAAAGAGGAAAAAAGTGGTTGAGGTTGTATATTGAGGAGTATTAAAATGTAGAATCACTATTTTGAGGAATAATAAAATGTGTAATCAGTTTAAGTTTGTAAGAATGCTCCTTATCATTTATGACATGACAAATATTTAGGTTCATTTAAAAGCATTTAGTGAACTGGCTTTTTTCTTAAATACAAGAATTCAGAAAAGAACAAGATACAGATTCCATTATTCTAATATAAAAAGGAAGTTTCTGGAATTCTGTGCTATTTTGCTTAGCATGTATTCAAAACTTCTTAAAAAGCAATTTACATTATTTTGAAAGTATGCATTTTCAATCCTTCTGCAATCAAATATGTTAGTGCAAAATATACATATGTGTGTTCGCTCAAAAAGCCTGTATAAGATGTGTTTAATTCATTAGAATTTTATGTTTATTGCTTTCTTTTCCCTCCCTTCTGATTTATCTTGAGACAGAAATTTTCTAAAAAGATTTTATATGTGTGCATAACATACCAACAAAATACAGAGCTGTGCCAGCTAAACAAAAGATAAAATTAATCAGTGTTGTTGGTCATTGTACTTCCCTACAGTTTACTCACTTAAATTTTTGGTAATTAGTTTTAATACAATTTTGATTATAAGAAATGAATTTGTATTCCCTTTGAACTTTTTTATAGTAAATGTTAATGTTATAGTTTTGTTGTAAATAAATTTGCCTTTTTAAGCTATGAAATATTTTATTTGTAAGAAACAAGTTTTAATTTCCATTTGGCTGTCTCATATTGAGAGGAAACTGAATTACATTTAATGCTTATCATAAATGAAGATGATGCTTTGTGAAAATTGCTAATTTTGTTGATGTATGTGGTTCTTTCTTCAAACATGACTTTTATTTTTATTTGTATATAGAGATGAAAAAAGGAAAAAAAGGTCATCAAAGAAATCTAAAAAAACAAGTCGCAAAACTATTAAGCGGAAGGATATAAAAGGCCTGCGCGTCATGAAATATAAAAAAGAGAGTGTCAAGGGTAGAATATGTAAATTTTTCAAGGAAGGAAAATGTGCTAAGGTAATGATATCGAAATTAAAAACTCAGTTGCTTTAAATGATATAAATAAAAAATTATCTTACATCCTTAATCCTATGTGCATACTAATGTTATTTTTTCAAAGTTCAGTTTTAATCCTTTTATAGTTTGTGAGTTTTTTTATATATTTGCCCACCAAACTAGTTAATTGTTATAACTGCCAGAGACAGAGAAACTAAGTTTTACCATTTAACACGTAGTCAGCATTGCTGACTACATTGTGTATAAAACACTTTTTTGATAAGATGTTCTGATAAAAAAAACTGCAGCTAATTTTACATTTTTATTTTTGTATGGTTATATTTTCTGTTGTAAATCAGCTCAAGAATTCTGTCATAAAAAGAAAATTTTGAGTTTTTGTTAAGATTTTTTTGTTTATATATTTCACAAATCCTGATTCAATAATAATGTCCCCTTGCTCATCTATAAATTATGATTTCCTGTATTGGAAAACTTTTCCTCTACCAAATTGTGCAACATGGGCTACAATCACTTCAATATTATTCTGTTTCTTTATTTTACATCACTCTTTTAAAGTAAAATAACAGAATGATATTGAATGATTTAGAGATAAACTATAAAATTACAAAATTCTCGATCATGATCTGTAAATTGATGGAATTTAAAAGTAAATGATCAGGAATTGTATTGCAAGGTATAACTGAATGTAATGCTTGATATTGGAGAGAAGTGTGAAGAATATTATAATAAGGTCTTGATTGTTGGAGGATGAAATTAAATTTGACCAGTCTGCTAATTTGTAAATTGCAGTAAACTTTGATAATTTAGAATTCTAATTAAACTGAACTGAATATTTTTCCACCAAAGAAATTTATTGGGAGTACAAATAAGTCTCCGCTGTTTCACGAAACATGGTGCCACCAGTAAGTTTATAATGTATTTCTCCCATCTTCGTAGTGTAATGGTTAGCACATTCGAGAGGTCCATGGTTCCATTCCCAGCAAGGGCATTGCTCATTTTTCACGTTTTACGCTTTAAAAATATCCTAATAACTCTACACTGGCACCCAAACTAAAAGGTGATGAATGATGATTCTTCACCATCAGGATTTGTCGATTGGGCTCCCTAATCTCCGTAGCCTTTTAAAAGGGGGAATATATAAGGTATTTCTCCTGCCTTCTTAGCATGCCTTCGTAGTGTAGTGGTCAGCATGCTCGACGCATATTCAAGAGTTCCATGGTTCAATTCTCAACAAGGGTATTGCTCATTTTCACGTCTTCTGCTTCCAAAACATCCTAATAGCTCTACAAATTATGGCTAAAATTATCTAATGTAAAACATGTGGTAAGGTTGGACATCTCCTAACAACATAATCTTGAAATATTAGTGATTTTGTATCAGCATCTTTTTTGGGGGGGGTGAGAAAAAATCATTTTGAGCCAAATGAGCGTCATTAGCAAGAACTTTTGATTTACTTCTTTAATTTGAAGAAATTTACAACTGAGGCACATTTATTGTTCGTAGAAGCAGATGGTCAGGCTGCCTTAAGTGAGAGAAGTTGTCATGAGTGGTTTCAAAAGTTTAACAATGAGGAATTTGACATCAAAGACTAAGAATGTAGCAGGAGGAGGAAAGTGTATGAAGACGCAGAACTGAAAGCATTGTTGGATGAAGATTCGTGCCAGATGCAAGTAGAACTTGCACTCACATTAGGAGTGACTCAACAAGCAATTTTACATTATTTAAAATCATTAGGAATGATTCAAAAGCAAGGAAATTGGGTTCCATATAAGCCGAGAAACTTCAAATGCTGATTTTTTACATGTGAAATCCTGCTTGCCCAGGCATAAACAAAAGTGTTTTTTTGTATCGTATAGTCACTTGGTCAGGAAAAATGGATCCACTACAATAACCCAAAGGAGAAGAAATCATGAGGACCACCTGGCTATGCTTCAACATTGATAGCCAAGCCGAATATTCATGGGAAAAATCTCGTGTATATGGTGGGATCAACTGAGTGTCATGTATTATGAATTGTTCAAACCGAATGAAATCATTACTGGGACTCTTAACCGAATGCAATTGATGAGATAGAGCCAAGCATTCAAGGAAATGTGCTCCCATTACTGCTCCAGATAAAATTATCCTTCTGCATGATAACTCTCATCCATATGTCGCTGCACTAGTTAAAACCTACTTCGAAACACTCAAATGGGAAGTTACATTGCTTTTCCTGATTACTACTTGTTTTGATTGATGACACATGGCATGTCTGAGCAACACTTTATATCATATAAAGATACCAAAAATTAAATCATTTCATGGACAGCATATCTGTATGCTGCCAGAAAGATGGGAAAAAGTAGTTAGTGATTAGCAAGGGGCAGCACTTTGAATAAAACATAAAGAACCTTCCCCCCCCCAATGTAAATGCCCAGTTTCTGATTAAAAAAAGGGGGGTGGAGACTTATTTGAACTTCTGATAACATTTATTTCCACCCCCCCCCCCAAATGTAGAATTTCTTTGAATCAAAATATTCAGTAAGTCAATTGTTTTAAAGACATTTTTTTGTCCTGTTTCTTTTGTTTCTTGCTAAGCAAATCAGTCAATTATAGAGATGCTTTCAAGCTTCCTTGTAAAATATAATTTGTATTTCTTTTTCTGGGCTTGTTTAATCATGCTGACAAGCAACTGTTTTCATGGTTTTGTGATGTTAAAAATTACTAAAAATACAGAAGAAAGTTGTAATTTATCTTAGAAAGAAATCTGCATTTTTATTGGATATAGATTATATTTTATGGGTTATTGGATGTATACTGGTTGCATTATAAATTGGGGCAAACTTCAGGAATTCATAATAAAAGAAGTACTGCTTGGAAAAATATTTTTGTTGCCAGATGATCAGAGAAACACCAGATTTTTATCCACGTATAAAAAAGAAAATTATTCCAAAAGTAGCCAAAAGAATGCACTCGCACATCATACTGAATGTTTTATGCATATCAGGCTAACATTAAACACCTGGCTGAAAATGGGTTCCTCATTTGATGCCGGCAACATGCTATCATTACTAGATCATTACTAGTGGTTAAACTTTTCTACAAGGGTGGTAAATCCATGAGTATTGCATTGTCAAAGTTTTGCATGGACAAAAGACTGAAGGTACAAAAAAGCCCTATTTCATTGAATGGGATACTGAATTTAATATGATGTTTTGTGAAAACAGGATGTTGGGAGGATCTTCTGTAAAGTGGCAGACCATCCTTGAGCACGGACTGTGTCCATGTGGTAATGTTATGAAAGAATTGGCAGCCGAGTAGCAGTGCTCATGAATCTGGAAGAGTAACAGGAATCTTCGATTTGACATATTCTGCATGGAATCATTAATCTGTATCCATATAAAATACAGGCACTTCACTAGTTATTACCTGTAGATACAGGTTAAAGACAAAACTTTGCTGCATGGACACTGGCGCAAAGAGAATGTGACCTGCAATGGTTGCTGAATGTCATATGGATGGATGAAGCCCACTTTTCACTATACAGTGATGTCAATGCGCAAAGCATCATTATCTGGACAATATCACTCTCGTGGTTACCTGACCAAGCCACTGCTTTGTCCTCATGTGATTGTTTGGTATGGTTTCATTACATCTTTCATTATGGGCCCTTTCATTTTTGAAGAGCCTCTTTCTCTGTCCAAATGCAAAACTTTTACAGTCACTGAAGAATGGTATGTTAATTTTTACATGACCATGTTGTGCCTGGATTGCAGGAAGAACATCTGCTACCTTCATGTAGGATGGGTGCCCTGCCCCATGTTTCATGGGAAGTCAAGACTTGCTTGTTGGAAACTTTGCTGAAGTTTGAAACTTCCACTTACACTAGTCATAAGGTCAAAGTTATAAGTGGGGCTCCTCAGCCACATTAGTAGAACTGAAAGAATATGTTTGACACAAGTTTCAGTGGCATCAATGCCGATGTGCTACACTCAACTGTAATACGCTGTAGGGTCATTAGGTTAATTGGAAGCAGAAAAGATGAAAAATAGCAAACGCCTTCGCCGGGAATCGAACCACAGACCTCTGGAATACCGTCCCAGCATGCTACCGTTACACCACGAAGGCACGCTAGGGAAGTGGGAGAAATACTTTATATACTTCCCTTTGTAAAGGGCAACTAGAGTTTTAGGGAACCTAGTCGCCAAAATCCTGGATGCGGAGAATCATCATCCACAACCCTTTTTTAGTTCGAGCACCACTTGTAAAGTCATTAGGTTAATTGGAAGCAGAAAAACGGAAAAATAGCAAATGCCTTTGCCGGGAATCGGACCACAGACCTCTGGAATACCGGCCAAGCATGCTACTGTTACACCATGCTAGGGAAGTGGGAGAAATACCTTATAACTCATAGTGATGTGTCTGCCTCACTTCCCTAATTAACCTTGTGCTGATGGTTATGTTGAACATCTTTCTACTTTAAAATAAATGCAGTGTCATAAAATTGTGATCTGTTTCATTGTTGGTTTGTGTTTGCCTGATTTGCATAAAACGTTTGAGTATGATGTGTGAGTGCCTTCTTTCAGTTATTTTTAGTTCTTTCAGTTGCTTTTAGAATTCCCCTCCCCCATATACAACAAAAAAAAAAAAAAAATCCAATACCTTTTTGATCATATTTGTGCAAATGGAAATTTTTTCCAAGCATTACTTCTCTTACTATGAGTTCTTGAAGTTTGCATGAACTTGCATGATGATGATGCTTGATGCATCCTACATAATTTTGTTATTTATATCCTGTATTCAAAGAAATCAGATCGTAAATATTGTATACATAAATACTTCCACATAATATTTGTATTGTTGTTTGAACATGTAGTACCTCTACACAATTTAAAGAAAATTTTTATGCCTTTTAATTTTGCATTAGAGTTATATGATTTCATTCTGGTATCAGTAGATGGGTATTTATGTAATGAAATTTAAGTACCAAAATAATTTTCATTATGAATTCACGGAATAATTTTTGGCTTGCTTCGTTAATATGTATATTGAATACAGTCAAAAGTCGTTAATTCAGACACCTATAATCCGGCCCTCAAAGCTACAAACGTTCTGCACATGCGTCGCGTTGACGCATGCGCACAAGACCTTTACGGCTGCGAATATGCGTGTGCGTATGCGCAAAATACGTTTACGCATGCTTGTCTAATGTATGACGGACGGTATAAGCTAAGCTAAAATTATCTAATTCAGTTAATGTTGCAGATTGCATTGTTCCTTAATCTTCGAAGTGGATCCGGCTTATTATTTTTTGCAGACTGTTAGAGCAATTTAATAAAAGTAAGCTTGTACTTTCGATTATGTCAAATAGAATTTCCGATGCTGGAGCTCCCAAAGGATCTACAAAGCAAAAGTATGTTTCGATGTCCATCACACAAAAAGTGGAATTGCTGCAAAAAATGGATAAAGGCATATCCTTTGTTTCTCTAACCATTCCGAAATCTGTTTATCAATTTCACGCTGTTCTGCGGCGGGGGGTGGGGAAACGCCACGGCAGGCAATGAATTGCAAGTTGATCTGTCAGCACTATCCTTATCTTCAGGGCAAATGTTTCATTTTATTTAGCTTATAATTCCTTACTAAATGTAGCATTTCATCTTGATGTATTCCTTTGATATAATTTAAATCTAATTTCTCGTCATTATAATTTGCTTCCGATAGTGAAGAAAGTGACACAGAGGTTATTGAAAATGAAAAAATTTCGATTGGCAAATTAGTCGGTATTCTCGACACAACCATTACAGGACTTGAACAGCGGAACTTTGCAACTGAACAAGAAATTATATCTGTTTATAGAATTAAAGAGAGAGAGTATTATCACATAAAACGAAGCAACTTAAACAACTTACATTGAAAGAAATGTTTAATAAAGTATAAACAAATAAATATTAAGCTTTTTTTTTTTTTGGTAAATTTTGATACCCATTAGATCATAACTGTTCTTTATTTCATAAATTACGGTTTCATATTTTTAATTTTAGAATTTCTGCCTTGCCATCTTACCAGATTTAAACTGATAATCTATAATTCGGAATCGCCGAAGTCCCGACGAGTCCGGATTAACGACTTTTGACTGTACTATATGGTAACAATGCAGTTTAAAAAAAAAAAAAAAAAACCTGCAATTTGAATTTTTAATTATTTTAAAAAAAAGTCTTCATTTTATTGGCTTGCTAAAGTTTAGTTGTGTTTATACATACAAACACATATCACATTGTGTTTTACTGTAATCACAAGATCTTTGTGTTTGATACTTCAGAGGCTTCAGGGAAAATAATGTTAAATTTTGAAATGGTGTAAAATGCCTCTCCCCCCCCCAACACCCATAAAACTAACATCAGCACAAAACAAGATGAACATCTCCATTTCTTGAATTTTTCATTGAAATTCATAGCATCTGCTTAGAAGCTAAATCAGTAGATTGCTTGTATATATAGAAAATTGTTTTTCTGAAAACTCTTAGTGATTGTCAAACAGTTCCTATCAATTTTTCAATATAATTAAAATATTAAATTAAATATTCCATTATTTTCTGCTTTCATTATACATGATATTTTTCCCATTCTCAAATTCTCAAAATCCTTAAGAAGTTTTGAAAGAGAATCTTGAGAAATAAATTAACTATTAGTTCAGGAGTTTCCAAAATTTAAAAAAGTAAGAAATTCAGAAAATATAATCGCAATTCTTGCATACAGCTTTCTAAGCTCACTTCTTAGCCTTGGTTTTGGAATATATATGTTTTGTCATTTTTTAAATTTGATGTGTGTATGTCTACTATTGATTCAGAACGTAGACTTTATTCAGGTGATTTTCATTAAATTCTTCAAAAGATTTGCTTACATACAAAAGCTTTTCATCTGTAATAGTGTGCTTAATTAATTTGTCTAATTTAGGGAGCTGATTGTTTATTTTCTCATGCATCTCCTGCATCTTACAAGAAAAAAGAACTCTGCAAATTTTACCTGAATGGACATTGTAATAAAGGCAAAGAGTGCTTATACATGCATAATATCCTTTTTTGTATGAATAAATTGTTTTTAATCAATTTTCCTTAAAATAAATGAAATTATGCATTGAATGTACAGAAGGTGTTTCCATAGTTCTGGAAAATAAGCTTTTGTTCACAGTTGTGAAGCAAGCATCTCTTATGTAAAAACAAATACTAACATTTGCCTCTAATGAAAAAAAAATTGTTTAACTTCTTTTTATTCCTCAGTGATTGAAAAATTGTCATAATAATCATTATGTTAAATATCTTACTGCTTGAATTCTGGATTTAAACAAAATAATAATAGTAAGTTTTTAATAGATGTGCAGTAATCATATTTACTTTTTGAAGCCTGGTAAACTTTTTGTTTGTAAAAATTTTAAATAATAAAGATTTAAAGTTTAATTTCCAGAATATGTAAATTTATTGAATTTTCTGATTTAGATAATACATAATGTAATTAATATGAATAATAATATATTTTAATTAGAATGCTTCTCTGGTTTGATGTTTAACATATGTTTTAATTTTGATTAATGGAAAACTTTTGCATTGCTTTTGATAAATTTAAAGATTTGTAATGAAAATTCTTATACACTGTATAATTTTTTAAAGAGGTGCTTTGCTTTCAAATTATTAATGAGGTGTAGTATATGAATTATTCAAGAAGTCTCTGTTCTGTTTTTAATCACCAGCAAACTTCAAAAGAAATGTTTTATTCGAGTCAGATTTATTTGAACATAGTGTTCTGAATGTAATGTTTTTACTCTTCCCCCCCACCACACACACAGAGAAAGAGAGAATCAGCCCCCAAAAAAATTATACAGTTGTTTTGTAGAATTTGTTGTTTGTGCTTTTCTTTGGCTTACTGAGATATTGGCTAGGTATAGAATTCATTTCCAAGGAGTTAATGTTTAGATTTCTTGATTGGGAAATAAGTCATTAAATAAGCAAGTAAAATAAATAAATAACAAAAAAAGGGAGAAAAGCTTGGATCATAATATAATGTGTTTAATTGACCAAAACAGAAATCAAGATTTGGAATTATGAGATAAGGCTTGTAAAAAGGGTTTGGGTTGGAATTGATATTGTTAAACTCTTCCTACTCTGATATTGTTAAACTACCTTCACCCAACTGTATACTAGTATAATTGAGTGAAGGATGCAAACCAATTTTAGGGACTAAATGAAGTCTTTTTGATCATTTTAGGGGATAAATTTTAAAAATGATTAAGAGATGAACAATAGTTAGTTGTGGAAGACTTGTTTTTAATTTTCTAATATATGATTGACTTTTTTAATTGAAAACATTAACGTTATCTTAATTTAGCTGTGATAAATCATAGTGAAAAGGAATGTTATAAATTTCCCCAAAATTAAAACCAGAAATACAATTTTAATAACTAAAGAAGGAAAATTATTAATGGGTGAGAAAGTAACTTAAATGTTAAACATTTGAACAGAAGAAACAATGTTTTACTGGAAAAGCAAATGAGATATTGTTGGTAGTTCTTACTAGAAGATTGTCCTTTATGAAGATAACGAAAAAACTTTTGGAAAAAGAAAGTGAGATGACAACAGTAGAGTTGTTCTTTATGAAAATAAAAATAAAACTTTTTTAAAAAGCTTCATCATTACCTACAGTTTCAACTTCATCACATATTAGAGTTCAGTGTTATCTACGGCTCATTTGTTTTCTCTTCGATGATAAGATTCTTTCTTCAGTTCTTAACAATTCTACTTGGTTGTTACTTGAATTTTACTTACTTACAAGTTTTGATTGTGGAAAATATGTAGTACTCCCTCTTTGTATGGTTTAATTCATACTGGCCAAATTAACACAGTATTATAATGTATGTTATAGAACATGATTTTCATTAAGGGGGGAAATAAATAAATATTCCATGCCTAATCATTATTATCAGTAGTTCTGTTAAAATTATTTTTTGAAAAAAAATTTCGTTTGATAAATCCTGCTTCCTTGAAACCTTCCACATTTATTCGAGTCTTTTAACTTTATGTTAATTCCATGCTTCTCCCATTCAAATGATGTAACCTGAAAAATAACTGCATTTACAGAAGATTCCATGCATGTCTTTCTCAAATCTGTTCACTATAACCAGCATAAGGTAATTTTTTGCCTGATTTTAAATTTGACTTTAGTGTGCTTAGTAAAAATGTTTTTGTAAAACTCACTATCAGAGGAAAAATTCTAATTGAAACTTTTCTTATTCTTAATTGAGAGCTCACCAGCGGCCGAGTGGTAAAGTCATTGAACACTGGTAGTTCGGTCCAAGGTTCGAATCCGCGAAAGGGCTGGCTGCATGGGCGTTTTCGTGGTTTTTCCCATGTGTAACGTGTATATGAGTCAGTTTCCCTTTGGAAGTCCTCCACAAAGGTATCCCTCCCCTTAGGCAGATATCCCTAGTGTGCTTTGCCATAATTAAATAAACCAAACCAAAACTTATTCTTAATTGAAACCTCTCTAACGCATATTCTGCTATCTCCATCTTGGGTTACCACATCTTATAACATGCAATGATAATATGCCTTTTTAAGAGTAAAAAATTTTCTGTTTTGCAGAAATGCAAACTTTTTATTGCATTTTTTTATTTTGTAATTAGTAGCTATAGGTTTTCTTATAAAAAATTCCCTATATATTTTATTTTGTAATTGGTAGCTATAAATTTTCCTATAAGTTGATTTTCTTTTAATATATATCTATGTAATAATAAAATTCCATAGTCAAGAATACACTTAAAATTCTAACTGTATGTTCTTTTCATTTTTAATGGCGATGGCTCTTATTTGAAAGTATGTGGAATTAAATCCACGGCCCATAGTCGAGTTGTTTTTCCCTCCTTTTCTACACGTACAGTTTTAGAATGTTCTGGAAATATTTAAAGCGAACTGGATTGGCTGACGTCATTTCTTGGAAGCTCCGCCTTTCCAGAGGCTATAATAAAAGGACTCGCAAAAGAATATCAGGGGCTTTTCTTTAATGCAACGATACAGTAAACTTCATACAAAAAGTTATTAGTAATTCTTTTTATTTACTCCGGATATCTGATTTTGTAACTGCTATTTCTCCTGACCAATAATAAATGTATCCTGTTTTTTAAACTTATTGTCTGATAATTTAAGCTATGACTACATCTATATTTCTTCAACGATCTATTTATTCTGGACAAAAGCTGATACATCACATATACATATATATATATATATGAGAAATTGTAGAAAGCTCACCAAAAAGTTACCAGGAGCTCCAAGAAAAGTTCAACACATTTTTTTAAAAAAAACAATGTCATTGAAGGGTGAAAAATTATGCTACATGTTAAATTAAACACAGTAAAATACTAATCTTTGGAAACTAGTAACGGCAAAAAATACAGTAAATACCTGTCGATGTGACAAGTGTAAAGTTAAAACATAGGAAAACCAATCGATAGAACAAGTTAAAACATAAAACAAACATAAAAATATAAAAATATAAAGCAGGAAATGGTAAATTAGATTAACCCGAAGTCCAACCTGGCTTTTCAAGGGAAATTTCTAGCTGAACGTCGAATTAAGCTAACTCCATTACGCGTTTCGCTGAAACAGACAAGTGAAATTTTTGTGTTACAAATTTTAATTAAATAGACGAATTGTCTTAGAAAATTTGTTAGTCTCAATTTTCTGTTCCAATTTAACAGATTTAACGTGTAGCATAATTTTTCACCCTTCAATGACATTGGTTTTTAAAAAAATGTGTTGAACTTTTCTTGGAGCCGCAGCTCCTGGTAACTTTTTGGCGAGCTTTCTACAATTTCTCATATCTTTAATTTTGCAGCATATTGCGCAAAAAAATTATTTAGACCAAATTGGTCTTAACGGTATTGTACTAACTACCTTGCTTCTTAATTATATATATATATATATAATGGCAGGAGACATGATAAACATTTGATAATAATTTTTTATTATGATTTTATATTATTCAGTATATATTAAATGGTTATGCTTTTCAGTAAGAGTATTACAAGAACTGTTTTTGCAGCTTCAGAAATTTAAATCATTGCTATTAATATAATATATATCAAAGATTGAATTAAATTAAATACATTAATAAATCAAAACTATTTTCAGAGAAGAACATTATATTTTTGAATTTATGTTTCGGTTTCAAAAAAAACGCAGGTATGCTCATCATTGATCTTGAATTTATGTTGATAAGAATTTTTACATGAATGAAATAATTTTGAAAACATTAGTATAGAATTAATTATATTTTTATCGTTTGAAAGATTTTAACCTTCCATAATTATTGTATTCAAATTACATAATGAATTTTAAGATATTTAAACTATTTTCAGGAAAGGATAATTAAGATAAATAATTTTATTTTTTAACTTATGTTGAAAATTTTGAATTGTTGATAAGCATTTTTATATGAATGAAATAATTTTGAAAAAAATTAGTATAGACTATGATGAACAAATAGTGTTTTTGTTTATTACTATAGAAAATATTGAATGTTTTGATATAAAATAGTGTAATAAGTTATAAAAATATGAGTAATTCATGTAGTTTATAAATGTGATGTTATAGTTGGCACAGTTCAAAAAGGTCAGTTGACTTTACACAAGTAATGGAGGCCTTTATAAGTAACTGCCTGGGCAACCCTTAACCATTAGTGAGAGTATACACTAATTCGTTAATGGGGATTTGCCCGTAAGATGGAAATGTTTGTATTAAGAGAAAGCTGTGGGGTCTTCCAGTTTGTGCAAAATAAGTATATTTGTAATGTTGATAATAATAGAAAGCATAATTTTAGCAATATTATTTCAATTGATGTTTCAAATATAAAATTAATTTTATTATGGTATTTTAAATTTTGTAATGTAATTAATAGACATATTCAAAATTTTTATATTTGAAAAGTTTTAAAAGCTTTCTCTAAACAGATATAATTATGAAGTTTATTTATTTTTTAATTTTATATTCACAAAATTATATGGTCTGTATTATTATTGTAATGCAGTGTAGAGTTTTATTTACAAAATTTAAAAGACCTAACTTGAATATACAAGTTATAAATCTTAAATATTTATTTTTGTATATGTTCTATATCAAACTAACGTGAAATTTTTCATGGCCATAAGTTATAAATGCAAACTTTGATAATTTTACAATACTAAAGGCCAAGGCCAGTTACCTTCTACAGGCAATGGAGGCTTTTATGTGTAATTATATTTGAGCATCTCACAGCCATCATTAATTTGTTAAACTGATTTGCATTGTAGAGGACCTACCCATTTTTATTAAAGTTTATTTTATTATTGTACTGAATTTTATTACGTTTCTATGTTTATTAAATTCTAAATTCCATTTTACATTGCTTTGCAATTAAGAAAGTGTGGATTTGTTTTATAAGTGTTAAATGATCAATTTTAGTAGAAATTGAATAATTTACTGCAAGTTGTCACATAGGTTCAGCAAATCATCTGTTATTTGTAATTATGGGTTGATGAAACTTTTTCAGAAAATGAAATTTTAATGTTTAACTTGTTTAAGAGTGCAAATAACATTATTATATATTTTTTCTCTTTTATTGTTTCACGAACCATAATTCATTCTTTTGAACATTCAGAATATGACTTTTTCATACATTACTAAATCTGTTGTTTTCATTTATAGCATGAAGTTGTTCCTTTAGTGTATGGCAGAATTGCCATCATCATTAAATTAAAGGCTGTTTTAATCAAATAAGGAAAGCTTGTCTAAATTAATTCCTTTTTAATCTAAGAAATGTAATACATCTATTTTTTATATTAAACACCGAAATAAGATTAGATTTTGAAATTTAAACTTGGTAATTTAATATCCTCTTATGTAAATTACTATCATTTTTTGGGGGAAATTAATATCTAAATATCTTGGTATAGATTAATATTTATGTGTAAGAATTATTGTTTGCCAAAGTAAAATGTAACTTTTGTTTATAAGTCTATGCTTTTGGCTAAATTAAAATTTCTAAATAAAATACAATTACATTTTCTAAAATCTTAGAAAAATATTTCATCTTGCAGTATATTACATTTCATTCACTTTATTCTCTTTATGCTATTAAAATTCCGTTCTTAAACATGAGGTAGGTATGTTTTTGTTGTAAACAATCTCACTTGTCTGATCTAATCAGAAGAAGCCCACGAATTTCACCATGGGAATGAATCCAAGATTGTGTCGTTACTGGTATGAGCCTTGAGCATCATATATTTGACAGAACAACTTCAGGAGATGGGTCCACTTACCACTGAACCACTGGAGAGGACGTTCAGCTGTGTGTATATTTTGAGTGTCTCCATGCTGCTAAACATTATACATTTAAAACCACCCATGCCTTTTCCAGAATTTACCCAGACCTGGGTAAATCAGCATCACTAAACACTATCTCGTTTAGGTGGTGTACAGTATAATATTTAACCGAACTAATTTGAATGTCAATTTTTTCTCCTTTTAATATGTGTGTCATGTGTATTGTGTACTTTTAAGGAAATATAGTAATATATAAACTTATAGTGGTTTCTTCCTTTCCCTAAATGTATTTGCCTTAACTGAGATGTATGTGAATTTCCTTGTAAATTTTATCATACTGGATCAGAATGCTATGCAAAGGAAGACTGCAGATTTTCCCATGCACCCTTAACTGATGAAATGAAGAGAATCTTGGCTGATGTAAGTATAATTTTTCCCCTTCATACTATTTTTGGAATTTATGTTAAATTCAATAACTTTTAATGTCATCTTTTTATATTTGTTTTCTCCTGGCAGTACTTAAAGCTGCATCATGGTGATGATGATCATGAAGGTAGGAAACGACGTGTCAGCTCTAGCCCAGAACCAAAGGGCTCTGCTCCAAAGCGCCCTTGCTTATTAGGTTCTCCTCCCAGGCATATCAGAGAAGCTGAGGAAACAAAGCGTTGGCAGGAAGAAATGAAGCTATTACAGCAGCAAAATCATCCCGGATTTGAAATACGTATTAGCCCAAACAGAGAGAGTTCATCACCACCACAATGTCCAAAGTATGAGCATACTGCATGTATTTAACATGATTTTTTTTTTTTTTTTTTTTACATATATACATACCTAAATTGGTATGTTTTCTGGAAAGTTTAATCTATAAACACGGAAATTCTATTATTTTAGAGAAGCAAATTCACAATAAGACTATATTACAGCAAAGTATCCTTCATTTAATTTTTGAATTGTTGTTTTTTAATTGCTATGCATAAATAGATGTCTTTTTCAGCATATTCTGATGATGATGACAAAGGATTATTGGTATTTTTATTATTCATACTTTGCATATATATGACATATTAACTCAAGTATAAATCCATCTTGGATAAAGACCCTGCATTTTTAAGGTATTTTTTTAAAAGCTAGAAAGAGACTTGATATTCTAGAGGTGTTTTACTATAGAAATACTAATTACTAATACTGGAATTACTAATCTATTACTAATCTGAATGTCATTAACTAATACTGGAAGCTAATGTATGGCAAAATGCTGATTTCAACAAATATTTCACTTCTTGTGCTTAACTTGTAGGAGATAAAATTTCTCCAAGAAAAAATGTCTTTTGTTTATTAAATATCTTCTACTTTTTTTCTGCAATGAATAGGGACTTACTGGATTTGTGAGCACTGTGCAAGTTTGAATTAAGAAGGAGTATAATATTTACATTTTCTTATGTCATTATATAAAAGAGTTTGCAACAATTTTCTCGTTATCTGAAAATAAGAAACAGTTTTATCATTATGTGAGTTCTTTCAGATTAATACATATATAAAGTTGGTATTCTGATATATATTTTCTATTTGAAATGCTTTCATTTCTTGCATTATATTGACATGAAAATTGTGATGGTAACACAGCATTATAGAAAATAACTGAAGATCACTCTTAAGATAATACTCAGGCAAGAACAAAGAGTTATTTAGCCTGTACTCTATTTCCATTTTTGTTCAGGGATTTGATTGTAAAAGTATCCAGTTATTCTGTAACAGTGAAGGACATTATTTGTCAACTAATAAACAGATTTCATGATACAAAATCAATTGCTATTAAACTACAAAATGCAAATCCCATGACCAAAGTTGGTATCCAGCATTGATTATTAAACTCATTCAGAAAGTTAGCATGTGAATTGTTGTGACAAGCTAAGCTGGTATTGCAGTTCATAAGCAGAAGTTACTACTTTTCTGTAATGGAGGGGGGATTGGATTCAGAAAAGTATGTATGTATACACAGATATATATACATGCACACAGGTCTGAATCAAGTCCTGATAACAGAAAAGTACCCAAATTTTTAAGACATATATTACTTTTCCCCCTCATTCTCACTCCCCCCCCAAAAGTGTGGTAATCTCATATCATATAAGGATATTTGTGTTGCTTTAAGTGATTTGAAGAAATACCGTCTGCTATTTAACAGTGTGCTGAAAAATGGCTGTGTTAGCTTTTTCTAATGACATTTGAATTTTAAGTTTTGAAATATATTTTTCTGTTTTTCTTATTATTAATAGCTGCATTCATGTATTTTTTCTTAAATTCTTTATGCTGTTCATGATACCTACTTATTTTTAATACATTTTAAATGTAAGCTTAAATTCATAAAATAATTTTTCATTTCTTAAACTAATATATTGTTTTTTGATAAAGTGAAATTTTACACACACACATACATATACATATAATATATATATATATATATATATTATGTATTATGTTCTCTGTGCTCATACTTGTTTAATTCTGGATTCTTAATTTATTAAAAAATACAAGTAAATGCATGTATTATTTATTTTTAGGCCAAATTTTTACCAGGAAACATTGCCAAGCACTCCTCCACAAAAGCGCAGAACTGCACCTGAAGCTTCCACTCCATTAGCTCATCCATCAGGTTTTCCTCAATCTAGTGCCTTTCCTAAATCTAACAATTCTGGAATGTTTATTGAAGGATCTCCAAAGATTTACCAGTATGATGAAGAATATACTGAAGAAATGGATGTTTCTTCAGCTAAGCAAGATACATCAAATGACTTCAGCTGGAAAAATGTCCATAATCTTGTTCACGTACCAGGTACAAAAAGAATAATCTGCTATGGCAATTTCTTGATAAACTTACTATGTTTGAGATATATTTTGCATATACACATATATTAACAAAAGTCTTGACTCTAATACCTAATGGTATGTAAATTTAAGCTAAGCATGTAAATTTCTGTATTATATGATATATGGTTACAATTGACACTTTTTAATCTGCTAAATGTTTTGTTATGCATCAAAATAAATAACATCATCTTCCCATGCACATTTATAGTTTAATTTATAATTTTTTTTATACATATATATAGTTAGCTTTTATAACTTATTCTTCCAAACCATGTAGATATTCTCATTCAATTGGCCCTTCTCCCAAAATTATGTTTTATTGCTGTATAATTTATCCTCCTTCAATTTTTAAGTTATCTGAATTCTTTCATCATATTTGTAAAATTCAATAGACAGCTTTCTGAAATTGCCCCCCCCCATACTCAAGAATATCATTCGCCTGTTCTTTTTCTATTAATAGGAAAACCATTTTAAAGCGCATCAGAAAATATTTTAACTATAGAAAAGTTAAGTTAGAATGAATTCTTTCTTTGGTAAAAGAATATTGATCATAATGAAATCACAATAATATTATAATCTACATCTTTTAGATATTCAAAAATCTCTATGGGAATTCAATATCAAATATTTGGAAACAATGATAGTATTTTTTGTCTCATTTATTTTAAAGTAGATAAGGATTTCACTTCATCATCAAATACTTTGCAAGTGATTAGTAATCACATTAATCTGTGATCAATTTAATAAACTGTTATGAAATTCATTTTCAGTTTCAAATACAAATAAAATTTTGAAATTAAATTACTTTCTTTAAAATGTATTCTTTCTTATCACATATATGATGTAGTCTTGCATGGATATGTTCAGGATATTTATTTACACAAGGAAAAATTCAAAGGAATTTTTAACTCATTTAAAAAAAATAACATGAGTTTCTATTATTTTTTATACAAAATCGTCCTTTCTTATGCTAGCAGTTTTTCTCAGCTATTAAAATAAAGTATATAATAATAATTTATTAAGGAACACTGAAGTAAAATTAAATATTTTACCTTAACCTTTTCGCAATGGCACACCTTTGTTTAAGATGCTCGTGCAGGACGGAAGAGAATCGAAGGCAGTTGCCATACAGGACGGAGGTTTTGCATCGCTAAGCCTAATTTTATAACAAAGGTTGGAAAAACAAAAGTTTCGCTTCTAGCATCGTAATTTTTGGTATCATTTTAGATTATTACTTGAGCTCTTATATATGTTAAAATTAGCCCTTAAAACATTTTTTTCTTTATTTTACATGAAAATATACTTAAAAAATTGCTTATCTTCTAAAATAATTTTCAGAAGCTCTATTCAAATTATTCCAAAGTTTTAATTGATAAAAATCCATCAATAAAGTTTAAAATTAATAAAAAGAACACAATAAAGACTATTTACAGTAAGAAGTAACAAAATTTAAAATGAAAACAAATGTGGTAAATCTGGAAGCACAGAAAAGTATCACTTTGTAAGTCTTAGAAAAAGTATCACTTTTTAACTCTTTAGAAAATGAATCGGTATTCTCATTTGCGTTAGTAAATGGTTCACTAACCATACTAAGGTATTCTTCCTCTGATAAATAGCGCCTTCCCACCATAATAGACTGGAGGTGAGGCTTTCCTAAATAAAAAACGAAGGAACGGAAATATATCTGAAGGCAATGCAAAACGTAAAAAAAACTCCGCACAGTAACCCTAAAAAACCGTACATAGTAGAGGAAAAAAATAGAATAAAAAAAGGAATTGGATATAAATCAGATATGAGAATGTTTTCATTAGCACGCAGCGATTTAAAGAGCCACCTCTGTTTACGTTTTCCCTCCGCCCCCCCCAACCTGGAACAGCTGATGAGTAAAATACAAAAGTCAAGGAGAATATATCAAACTCAAGGTCAGGAACCTAAAACTGTGTTCATTTCAAAAGTAATGGACACAGGATGCCGTCTAGTGGCCTTCAGAAAAACGTTCAACCTTAAAATGCGTATACGCATCACCCGTCCTCTGAATGCGATCTTTACTGAAGCGTGGATGGGGCGCCCGGCTTTAGGAGACGTTCTTAGGGAATGCATATATGAGACGCCTGTCCTGAAAGGGTTAATAAGTGGAAAAATTAGAAAAAAATTGTCTGCTACTGCTTTTTTTTATAATTCATGTAAGAACATGTAATTGATCCAAATCAAATGTGTATTTACTTTACAAGAGTAGCAAGTGACCATGAGTTTAGTGATTATCTTTTAACTCTTAAATAGTTATAAAAGATTTTATTATGAATAACTTTGAAAACACTTTATGCACATTATTTTAAATAAGCTTCAAAACTAAGCAAAAATTTTAAGTAATATTTTTATTATTTGAGATCTTCAATTTGCTGCAAGCACTGCCGCCATACTGACAACGTGTAATATTTGTGTAGTTCAAGAAGTATTTTAGGGAATTAACATATAAAATGATGTAATAGTGAGAAGTTTTATAAGAAATGTAAATTTGTTTTATTCTTATTATACTTATCCACAAATTTATTTTTAATATTTATTGATTAAATTTTAAATAAAGTTCTTAAAAAGTTTTGATAAATCATTATTTATTCATTAGCACAACCCTAAAGAAGTATATTTAATTGTATTTAACAATTTTGGAAAATTAGCATTTTTGTGCATAAGAAGATAAATCTGAACACCCATGCTTTTGTATGACTAAAATAAATTGCTTTACGAAATGACTGGTCATTTCTAAATTAAACCGCATTCAGTTGTAAAAGCCTCAATATGTAATAATTTGCTAATATTTGGAATTTCGCAAAAAATTCTTATCTGTATATTTTATCAAATATGTGAATAAGTTGGTACTTTTTGTATAACTGCACTACCACCAAAAAAGTGAACTCATTGAGAATTATTTTTCACCAATCCATTTTAAAAGTGGTGTGCACTAAGAATTCCATTAAACAGGAATTGTTACTTACCGTGTTACCGCTCGACAAATTATCAGAATGTGCCAAACTCTGGTAACCAAGCTCATAACGATAATTCAGTCAAGCATCGCCATTATTTTTGCATGCATTCTTTTTGTTGTATTCCAATGTCTTTTATAAACAAATCATGATATTTTGTGCCTTAAACTTAATTTTAAAATATGTGCTTGTGCAGTTTGCTAATGAAGCTGCAGTAAAATTTTTTGAGGAATATAAAATTTTGATTCAAAATTTCTTAAGGAAGCAAGAAGATAGCTCATGTTACTAGAGAGTTTGAAATTCTTTGAAATAATTTTTTTTCCAAATATAAGCAGATTGCTTTGTACTTGGGGAGAATGTTTTATTTTTAAAACTTGCATTTTAAATTATTAAAGTATGTTATGTATTAAAGTAAGTATGTTTCCTTTTCATAAGTTAATAGTATTTGCGAACTTGCAATATATATATATATATATATATTTTTTTTTTTTTCCCCAAGTTGCAAAAACCGCTAATTTGTACCCGATAAATTATTTCTACCTTTTCATATGTAAAAAGTTGCCAAATTGGGCTAAGGTGTTTGCATGAATATGTAAGTACCGAGCAATCAATAAATAAAATAAAATTAAAAATTAAAAAAGCAAGAAACATCCTAAATGAAGGATTTTCTTTTTTCAAAAACCCTCATATATATGTATATATATTTTTATTGTTATTCTCCCCATATACACAACAATCTTGTTTTCACTTTAAAAAAAAAAAAAAAAATAGTAAATTGCACAAATTTGATATAGCACACTTAATTCTAGTTTCTTATTATACTTCGCTGATGATTCTTTTGTCCAACAACAAATGAAGTGAATAACTGTCATAAACATGATACAGCTATCTTCAAACTACTTTTCTACTTGCATTTGCTCCCAATTTTTCTCATTATTATTCGCATAAAAGTCTACTATATAAGAAGTACAACTTCATGGAATGCAAGATTTTTTAATTCTGAAGTCTCCTTCCCCTTGGGTAAATTGTCATTTTTTTGAAGAAATGTAGCACTTTATGCAGTCCTATTATGATTCATAAGAAAAAAAAAAAAAAAGAGAAGGTAATTGAATGCAAAAACAAACACGAATTGGGAAAATGATCATCAAATTTGGATGGTGAAAATGTGCAAGCACATTTGCTCTATGCATATTTGGGCTGTCATATTACTACCATATTTCCTTGCATATTATTCTCCTCCACTTTTTTATTAACTTCATTGTCTGAAGATTGAGAGGGGAGAATTATGTGAATAATTTTATTTCCAAAGGATGCAGCTACAAATAAGAGCATCACAAATTTAAAATATTTGTGGCTAAACTACCAGTAACTATCATAATGTTATTTATTTAAGGGAAATGTACATTCCAGTAACAATACGTATTAACATTACAATATCTGATATCTTCATTTCTACTTCTCAGTAACTTGACATTTTTATTGTCCTATCTACTCCTTAGGCTTCAAATCATCCATCAATAATTAGAGAAATTGAATTTGCAGCTGACTCCTAAATATCGGTTCATGTTTCATTTGCTCTTAAGTGTCGGTTCTTGTATTAAGCTGGCATAAATTTTAACAGCTAGAGGGGAAACGTACGGCGTGACTTTCACATGTAGAGAGTTTGTTTTCATTAATAAGGTGAAAATGATCACTACATGAATGAATCCATTTTAAAATTTCAGAAAGCTCATATTGAAAACACATTTAGGAAAATGAAAATTACATGATTATTTAAACATTTTCAGAACGTGGTGCTTAAAAGCTAGAGTGATAGGGTTCTAGAAAGACACAAGAAAATACAGTCAAAAGTCGTTAATCCGGACTCGTCAGGACTTCGGTGATTCCTGATTATCGATTTTTCCGGATTATAGATCATCAGTTTAAATCTCGTAAGATGGCATGCAGAAATTCTAAAATTAAAAATATGAAACTGTAAAACAATTCTATCAGTTTAAGTTGTTTCGTTTTATGTGATAATACTTTCTTTTTAATTCTATAAACAAACATAATTTCTTGTTCAGTTACAAAGTTCCGCTGTTCAAGTCCTATAATTGCGGTGTCCAGAAATATTGACTAATTTGTCAATCGAAATTGTTTCGTTTTCGATAACGTCTGTGTCACTTTCTTCACTATCGGAAGCGATATTTTCTGGATCTAGAACCATACTACAGATTTCGCTGTCCGTTAATGGATTGATGATTGGGGCATTGTCGTCGCAGTGAAAAACTTCTCTTATATCATCTTCATTTATTACCGCTTCTCCACATTTCTTTACAAAATCCAATAACTGAAAAATTTCACCTTTAGTTTGCGATGTCCGAAAACCTTCAAATTCACGGCTATCATCTTCATGCTCCTCACCATGAAATATGGTAGATGGCCATAAATAATGCCAAGCATTTTTTTAACGTACTTGGAGACACATCCTCCCACGATCTTGCGATGCTCCACATGGCAGATTTTATGCTAAAAAATTTCAAAAATTCTTGAATAGTCTTGCCACTGTTCAAGAAATTTAACATCGATTTTTAAAATGCTGCTTTATATTTGCATTTCAGCACGTGCGCTATTCCCATATCCATAGGCTGAATGATAGACGTACAATTTGAAAGGAAGAATAACACGGATACAATATTTTTCACTAAAACTTTTAAATGAAGTATGCGCCGAACAGTTATCAACAATCAGAACTATTTTTGAGTCATCAGGTAAACCAACCGAATTCAAATGTCTCCGAGCCTCGGGTATAAAATGATTTTCAAACCAATCATTCATCAACACTTCTGTCATCCATGCTCTTTTATTTGCGCGATATATAACGGGGGAAATCGTTACTCCTTTAAATGGTTGAGGTCGTGCATGTTTTCCGATTACGAAAAGTTTGCACTTGTGCGCTCCTGCAGCATTTGCGCACGCTAAAATTGTTAGTCTCGCTTTGGAATCTTTGACACCAGTTGCAGCCTTTTCTGTAAAGGTTGCCAAGGTATTTCGTGGTACATATTGCCAGAAAAGGCCAGTTTCATCAGCATTGTAAATTTGTTCTGCAGATAATTGTTCACTAGTAATGAACTCAATGAATTCATCTGCAAATTGTTCAGCAGCTTCAGTATCAGCTGAAGATTTTTCACCAGAAATTTTTAATTGTCTTATACCATGGCGATATTTAAATTTTGTTAACCAACCTGTCGAATATGTGCACTCTCCGTTTAAGTTCATTTCTTCATGAAATATTTTGGCTTGAGCCATTACCATTGGACCCATCAATGGCACGCCCTCGCTGCGAGACTGTCTGACCCATTCAATCATCACTCTGTCATGATCGTCACTTTTAGCATAACGAACCCTTTTCTGTTACTCATTGCAAGTGGGGTGTCGGAATCCACAAAAAAATCAAAAAGTTCCTTTTCCTTTTTGCTTATGTCATATACAGTTGACTTTCCAATGTTATATTCCTTGCATAACTTTGAGACCAGTATGCCTTTATCCATTTTTTGCAGCAGTTCCACTTTTTGTTTGATGGACATCGAAACATACTTTCGTTTTGTAGATCCTTTGGAAGTTCCAGCATCGGAAATTCTATTTGACATAATCGAAAGTTCAAGTTTACTTTTATAAAATTGCTCTTACAGTCTGCAAAAAATAATAAGCGGGATCCAATTTGAAGATTAAGGAACAACGCAATCATTAACATTAACTGAAATAGATAATTAGATAATTTTAGCTTACACCGTCCGTTATACATTAAACGCGCAGGCGGAAACGTATTCTGCACTTGCGCACACACATATGTGCAGTCGTCAAGGTCTTACGCGCACGCGTAAAACGCTTGTGCGCATGTGCCAATGCGGCGCATGTGCACAAAGTTTTTAGCTTTGAGGTCCGGATTATGGGTGTCCGAATTAACGACTTATGACTGTACTGTATTTTGGTGACATAGCATATACTTTTTTTTTTTATACTTAGTGTATACTTTTGCTTTGTGAATACTTTTTGAGAAGAGTGCAGATAATGAGAATGAATCGATTATCCTTATTTAACAAACTGGAATGAATATTTCATACAATATTTGCATTAAATTATAAATTATGATGTTCATATGTTTGGTAAAATTGATATCAATTCATAAAAAGGATGTAGAAACAGGTTACCAGCACCTGCTGCGTATAATTATCGGCTGCTTCAGGCTTTGCCCAGTAATATTTACTGTGGTAATATGTATGTGGGGAAGCGTACTAAAACATGCATTTTTTATATAGGAATGTAGGGTCTAAAGTGACGGGTTAAGAGGAACGCAGAAAAATGACACAAGAGGAAAATGTGTTTATGTACAAAATCGACGTAAAGTGCTTCTTTGCAGCAATACAGTACTCACAATAAATGTTCAAAAAAGGGAATACTAACAGTATTAGGAACTACAGCTGTGATTGGCTGGCATTGCAGTGGTAGAGGGTGGTAGTGAGCCAGACAAACCATGATCCGATGCATCAGAGGATCATTCGAAACTCTGCTGTCGAGAGTGATGGGCGAGTTTACGCACAAGGAAAAAGCTGACATGCATCTCGCTGCTAATGGGATTGGCAGAGCAGCGCACTGCGGTTGTACCAGGAACGGTTTCCAAACAGGCGTATGCCGAAGCACACAATGTTCGAGAGGTTGCATCGGTCTCTGTGCGAAAACAGGTCATTTTGAAGCCACCTCTGACATTAGGAGTGGAAGAAGTGCATGACAACCTCGTATTGAAGAATCCATCTTCAACATTGTGCATGAATCACCTCAGACAAGTACAAAAGCTATTGCACATCGTCTGCAGCTGAGTCATTCCACCGTTTGGAGAGTATTGCATGAAAATGATTTGCACCCATACCATTTGCAGAGAGTCCAAGCCTTGCAAGAGACAGATTACCCTCTTCGAGTTCATTTCTGTCATTGGTTCCTGCAGCAGTGTGCGGCGCAGGCAGATTTCCCATTGGATGTGCTTTTCACGAACGAGGCAACTTTGTCACAGGATGGCATCTTCAATAGCCACAACGTGCACGTGTGGTCAACTCATAATCCACACGGCACACGTCCACATGCATTCCAAAGCCACTTCTCCGTGAATGTGTGGGCGGGTGTTGTTAACGACTACCTCATAGGCCCATACCTCTTACCTGCACGCACAAATGGCATATGTTATCATATTTTTCTGCAAGAGGTGCTACGGGAATTGTTGCAGGATGTTCTGGCTGTGGTTCATGATCACATGTGGTTCCAGCATGATGGTGCACCAGCCCATAACCAGGTGGGGTTACTTGGCTTTCTGGGCCGACGGATTGGCTGTGGTGGACCCGTTCAATGGCCACCTCATTCGCCAGATTTATCCAGCTTGGATTTTTTTTTAATGGGGCCATCTGAAAAGCATCATTTACAAGACTCCCGTTGACTCACTGGAGGACCTCGTTGCACAACTATCCATTGCGACTGCAAGCATGCACGAAATACCTGTCGGTTTTCAAAATGTTCGTCAATCCCTTCTGCGACGTTACCAAGCATGTATTACTGCTGGTGGTCGCAATTTTGAACATTTATTATGAATACTGTATTGCTACAAAGAAGCACTTTGCGTTGATTTTGTACATAAACACATTTTTCTCTCACTATATTTTTTTGCGTTCCTGCTTTAACCTGTCACTTTAGACCGTACATTCCTATAAAGAAATTCATTTTTTAGTATGCCATGATCTATGAAACACCCTAGATATATCTATATACATGATTCACAAATAAGACATGGGAATTTCTACCTTGGATATTGAAGTACTTTTTTTTTTTTTCTAAATTTTCAGTCTGAATCACAATTTATGTTTTGTTTTCAACAACAAAAAAAAAATTTTTATTATTATTTTTGTTACTGACTTTGATGGTATAGAATTTTAGGTTGTTTTAATACTGTAAAGCTGATTTTGTTTTCAGTTAACTGAATAGTCTTATTTATTGCAAATAGAAATCAGAAAATTTAGAATGTTCTTGGCAATTCATTATACATAAGATTTTTTTTTATTTATCTTCAGTGGATCAATAATGCCTAAGATTTTTCTGTATTTTTTACAAAAGTGAACTGTTTTCTTATGCTGACAGGTGAATGATTTTATGATAAAAATTATTTTATATAGTTTTCTGTATAACATTTTGCAACAAGCACTATTTTATACAAGTGTGATAAAGACAATATGTTTCTCACATAATAAAATGTATCACTGGCAAAATTTCTTAACATTTATTTCTTCTAATGGACTATTTAATGGACTATTGTCCATTAGATAAAATAAAAGTGGAAGAAAAAATCCTCCTATTTTTGGTTTTTAATTTTTTTCTAACACTAATGTAATATTTTAATATTTTCCTTTTGAAATGAAAAAACCAACATTAAAGCTTTTTCAATAGATATTTTTTTAGGTGAATTTAAGTTTTATTCAGCAGCAAAGGTTTAGTTTTGTAAGTTGACAATAGATATTTCTAAGAAGAAAAACAAAATATTTTCAAGATTTTTTGCATGTTCTTTTTTAAAATTTTAAATGCTAAATTATTCTTTGAGTTGTTAATTTGAAGTGCTTCATTTAGATAAGAAATCTGAAATCATAGTTTTTAGTTTTAATTAGCTTTGTGTTTCTTTTCAAAGCAGATCAACAAGAGCTGGATTTCACAAGTGATGTAAAGTTTGATGAGACAACACAGTTTAGCGAAATGGAGTCTTCCACTGATTGTCCTCCTGTTTTATCTCCTGGTCCAATTGTACCTTCTGCTGTCGAGAATAAAGATAATGAGAGTAATGATACTTCAAATCAAGAAAGTTCTAAAACTGGAGATGATGGGATCTCGGCTGTAGCAACTTCGAATTCTTCCAGCGATCCTCCTGCACCTCCAATAGTAATACCAAGCCATTTACCTAGGAAGCAACGAGAACTCTTCATGCGTATCCAACAGCATCAAAAGAAAAATGCTGTGATCACAGAAAATATTGACATTTCTAGTAGTCCTTCTACTGCTGATATTGCTGAATCTCAAATAAAGAAGGAAGATTCAGAAGTGGAGGAAGAAAAGCCTGAAACAGACAAAACTGATTCCAAATGGTATAGTAGTGAAGATGATGATGATGATGCAGATCAGCCTTTAACAGATGTGCTGAAAAAACTTCGCCAAACTGTAAGTCTTTTTTTAATTATTATTTTAAGAAAATAGGAACTAAAAAAATTTGTTTTTAATTATTTTTTTATTTTAATTTTACTTTTTATTTTTTATCTCTGCTTATTACTTTCATCAACAGAACATTATGACCACCTTCTTAATTCTGTGTTGCTCCCAAATCTTCAGTAAACATCTGAAGGAATATTTTACTGGATTTGCCAGCAAATTACTCAATTCTATAGATTATAAAGGGTGATTAACAAGCTATAAGCTGGTGCTCCATGACATCTCAGATGTGCTCAATAGGATTACTGATCAGTGAATAAGAGGAACAGAACATCAAATGGAATTCGTCAACGTGTTTCTCAAATTACTGTAACTTATTGAAGAGTAACTGTAACTTATCTGCCAGAAAAGTTCATTTCTGAAGACAGAAGCCATGAAATTGTGTAACTGGGGAGCTATGATTATCATATACAGTACAAAGTCTTTAATCCCGAATGATCTATAATCCGGACCTCAAAGCTACAAACTTTCTGCACATGCGTAAAACGCATGCGCATAATACCTTTATGCATGCGCGTTTAATGTATAATGGATTGTATAAGCTAGGCTAAAATTATCTAATTATCTATTTCAGTTAATGTTGCAGATTGCATTGTTCCTTAATCTTCTAATTGGATCCGGCTTATTATTTTTTGCAGACTGTTAGAGCAATTTTATAAAAAGTAAGCTTGAACTTTCGATTATGTCAAAAAGAGTTTCCGATTCTGGAGCTGCTAAAGGATCTACAAAGTGAAAGCATGTTTTGATGTCCATCAAAGAAAAAGTTGAATTGCTGCAAAAATGGATAAAGGCATATCCTTTGTTTCTCTAACCATTCCGAAATCTGTTTATCAATTTCACGCTGCTCTGCGAGCACTGTGACATCTACTACTAGTACTAAATGGAAGAAAGATGGTTTCACAGTAAAAATATAGTTATAGGTACCTCTTGGCAAAAATTAGTGATTTCCTGCCACCATTGATGTTTATGTCCAATGCCCTCCCCAGTAAAATGGCTTCAAAACATAATGCAATAAAACATAATTAAAACAAAAGATAAAAATATATTTATGGGTGCCCCTTGGTGATAATTGGTAGTACTCCGAGTTTGCGCAATTCTTTGACTTTTATTTTGGCTTTTTGTAGTGGCACTTTTTGTGCTAAAAATCACTGCTACACAAATCTAAAATAACAAATCAAAGAATTGCACAAATTTGGTGTCCATGTGCACATCGACCTATTTTCACTTCAAAAAACATCAGAGAATTGCACAAACTAGGCATTGCATACTCCCTTGACTTTGTCCATGTATACATTGATCTATATTCATTTAATAGCACCCAACAAAAAATATGTAATCGCAATAAACTACATTTTAAATCAAACAATGAAATAACATAAAAAAGGAAATTCATTCACTAAACAAAGGAAATAAATATCCACTTACCTTATTTACAAATTTCCAAATCTTCAGTCAAACAAAATTCCTTAACAGCATCCAAGAACTTTCTAAAATTATCTGAACTAGAATCTGTATACTGGGTGTCGCCACATAAATTCACAAAATAAGAGTCAAAAATATCCTCCACCGTTCGACCATACCCATTTCCTTCCTACAAACAGGACACTTATAATAAATAGCTACTAAGTAAACTTTCATTTACACACCAGTCAATTAATGCTTTTTTCTCTTTAATTCCAAATCGTACAGAAACTTCAAATTAATCTTACCTCATTCAGCCATTTTACCGTGTAAACCACAAAATAACAACTTACTTGTTATCCAAAATCTGATGCACAAACCAGCCTTTCCAAACCTTTCTCCATCATTCAAATTCGCTGCAATCACACAACCAATTATGTCAGCATTCAACTACTCAGGTTACCGTAAATGGAACAACAACTTGGTGATAACTAAAGCAGCAACTTAGTGATAATCCAAGAAACACCCTTAAATCTACTTTAACAAAAAAAAAAAAGTATAGTGTCAGTAAACAGCATTTTAAACCAAACAAGGAAATAACATAAAAATTGAAATACATGTTATCTAAGCTGTGCAGTACAAAAAGGAAATATCAACTTATTTAAAAATTTCTGTTCCTTCATGGCACACAGAATTCATTAACAGCATCCAAAAAAATGCCTACATTTAACTGAACTAAAATCTGTATACTGCCATCGCCACATAAATCTACAAAAATAAGAATCAAAGGTAAATTCAGCCTTAATTATTTTAGTATTAGTTTCATACAACGATTATCCACTTAAAAATCAAAATCTCAATAATACTCAAATGACTCTTCTGAAAACACGATCCCTTTCTAATAGAATGCTTTATATATAGTGAGCATTTGAACCTTTCATGTGACAAACCCATTCAGAGCCATCTGAACGATCTTTACGTTTGACCATATGCATTTCTTTCATACAAGCAGGACACTTATAATGATTACAGAGTAAATCTTCATTTACACCCCAGTCAATTAATGTTCCCCCCCCCCCTTTCATTCAAAATCATACAGAAACTTCAGATTAACCACATCACAGGCAGCCATTTTACAGTGTACAGCACAAAATAAGCAACGTACTTCCTACGTGACATCTAATGCAGAAAAAAGCTCTGAGAAATTAAAATCACCACAGTGACGCATTACAACCAGTCATGTCCTAATAGGGTTTCTATAACATTAGACTACTCAAGTTACCATAAATGAAACAACAACTTGGGAATAATCCAAGGGGTATCCTAAAATATAGACTAAACGGTTTCACCATTTTTCATAGTTGCTAATTGCAGCTTGTAAATGCATGATGATTTCCATCAGTGAGCATTATCTGGCTTTTATCAGTCATTTAAATCAGCTTTCTTCTCCGTTACACACACACACACGTAATTGGTAAAATGATGTTTCAATATTCCTAACAGCCATTAAACAATATTCCCACTTTGTCTTCTGCTTTCTACATTATTCTGGTAAATTGCATTCTCATAATATTGAGATAGTTATAATGTTTTGGCTGATTAGTGTTGTAAAGATTCTGTACTGTGTACTTCTAAGTTGAATAATCGCTTGAGTTCGTGGTGTAGAAAACAACAAATGAGAAGGGTGTAATAACCCTTTATTGTTCCAACTAAAATTTAACAGAACTCTGTCTTGGACTTGTACAATAAAGCCGACATTTAGGCTTAACTTAAGAAACTAAGAATTAAACTAAACTAATCTTAACTAAAGAGGTATAGCCAAAGCTATTAAACTTCTAGCAGAGTTGGCCTCTTATTGCTAATTGACTGTGAAGCTATCAAAGGCCTAAAGTACGGCCGAGTGTAATAATAGCTTAAGAGAGAGTAGCCTAAAAAGGCGGACGCATGCTAACCAGAATATCTGGTATCTCTCTGACTAAGAGAGTAGAACTTCGCAGTTAAATCCCACTCTTCCTCATTTTGCATCCAAACATGATTCAAAACTACGTTCTGGCCGGAAGTGGTAAGTTAAAATTAAGAAGCGACAGGAAAGGAAGTTTAACTCAAAATTTAACTGTTAATAAAATTAACATAATTCTTACAGTGTAAGTAGGTGAAAATGGTCTTTAACCCACACTTTTGGTGCGATTTTTAAAATCGCACAAAGGCTTCTGCCAGACTCACCTACATATGTTGTATTAAAGTAATAACAAGGGTGTGGGTTAAAGCACATTTCACCCGTGTGTGTATTTACAATTTTGCTTTACTTACATTTTATATTTCTAGATAATGATGATAATAAATAATTCTTGAAATATGTAATTCCTATGCTAGATAATGTTTCTGAATGTATGCTGTAAAAAATTGTTAGCAGTTCTGTGGAGTTAAATCTGCTTTTGCTGTGAATACATATTGCTGTTTCCTAAGTGTAGAATATTCTGTAAAAAAACATGTTAAATGTTAGTAGGAAATGAACATCTGCGTATGCACAAATCATTTGCGCATATGGAATTTGGAAAAAAAAATTCTGTAGTCATTTTATTGACTTTTATTTCAAATTTTCACTGTTTATTTTGAGCATTTAATTTTTAGGCGTGGAAATCTCATTTAACACAACTAATTAATCCATTAATCCATCAACTAATGCATGTTAAGCAAAATTTTATTAAGTGAATACAGTAAGCGATATGAGTAATTAGAATTATTAGTTCATGTTAAAAAAAGAGAGTTATAATCCAGACTTTGCAGAAAAAAATCATCAGTGTGAATCAGTTGTTAAAATTTTTATTTAAATTGTGGAGATTCATTTAATTTATCTAACAGTTGATTTTTGTTTTAAAGGAACTTTCCTTTGTTTCTCATTTTCAACCCACGCTCTTGCCAAAATGTTAATAAGCTAGCATGCATGTATTCAAATGAGGTAGAAAGAAGTAGTATTTAAGGGAAGATGATCTAGTAATTAATAAGGTACTGAAAGAAAATCCAAAAGAAGGAATATAGTAAATAATTAAATAAATTAGATAAATATTACAGTCAAAAGTCATTAATCCGGACTTATCGGGACTTCGGCGATTCCGGATTATAGATCATCAGTTTAAATCTGGTAAGATGGCATGCAGAAATTACAAAATTAAAAATATGAAACCGTAATTTATGAAATAAAGAACAATCATGATCTAAAGGGTATCAAAATTTACAAAAAGAAAAAGCTTAATATTTATTTGTTTACTTTATTAAACATTTCTTTCAATGTAAGTTGCTTCGTTTCATGTGATAATACTTTCTCTTTAATTCTATTAAACAGACATAATTTCTTGTTTAGTTACAAAGTTCCGCTGTTCAAGTCCTATAATTGCTGTGTTGAGAATACCGACTAATTTGTCAATCGAAATGTTTTCGTTTTCAATAACCTCTGAGTCACTTTCTTCACTATCGGAAGCGAATTATAATGACGAGGAACTTGATTTAAATCATATCAAAGACATGAAATACTACACTTAGTACGGAATTATAAACCAAATAAAATAAAAACGTCTGCCCTGAAGATAAGGATAGTGCTGACAGATCAACTTCCAATCGGCGGCCTGAAATTGATAAACAGATTTCGGATTTCAAAACATACTTTCGCTTTGTAGATACAAATTACATATTAGTAAATGTATATCGGAAATTCTATTTAACATAATCTTTTTAATCTATCATAATCTAATAATGACGTTTCTGCCCCCCCCCCTCTGCCGCAGAGCAGCGTGAAATTGATAAACAGATTTCGGATTTCAAAACATACTTTCGCTTTGTAGTAAATATATATCGGAAATTCTATTTGACATAATCGAAAGTTCAAGCTTACTTTTATAAAATTGCTCTAACAGTCTTCAAAAAATAATAAGCCGGATCCATTTCGAAGATTAAGGAACAACGCAATCTGCAACATTAACTGAATTAGATAACTTTAGCTTAGCGTATAACTCCGTTACACATTAAACGCGCATGCGCACAAACATATTTGCAGCCGTAATGGTCTTACACGCTCTTGTAAACGCCTGTGCGCATGCGTGAACGCGACGCATGCGCAGAAAGTTTGTAGCTTTGAGGTCCGGATTATGGGTGTCCGAATTAACGACTTTTGACTGTATTTTGTAAATGGGTCTAAAGAACTGTGGTACTCCAAAAATTAAAAGCATTAATGGGAATCAATTTAACAATTAATTTAACAACAAGTTTTTATATTTAAAAAAGGTCAGTGCTATGCTAATGACCTTTTTTAAATATAAAAACCAATAGTTATTTTTAAATTTACTTGTTGGGTCTTTTGATGATTTTTCATACATATATTTTATGCATTTAAAAGTATTTAAATAATCATAATGATGATAATAGTAATAAAAGTAAACTAAAACACATAATAAAAGAATTGTGTTAATTGCTATGTATCGTGCAGTTTTTGTGTTTTATTCCACTTCAGTCCCATTGATCTGTCCAAAATTTTGCAATAACTTTTTGAACAAATATGAACTATTCAGTTTTAAAAATCAATTCATTGAACAAAAATTATTTTAAGAAGTATTTCTGGTAAGTTGAACAGATTTGAATTCCATCACCAGCCAGCAAAAATTAAAACGTATTATACCTTCCTCATCAATTTCTCTTGAATTATTGTTTCCTTTGGATTTATCTTCAACTTTACCATATCATAAATATTTTGGCAATTATTTTTATGCTTCAGGTTTTTCGCCAGATTGTCGTCATCTTTTGGCGATATGTGAATCCAGTCCTGATAACAGAACAGTGTTTTATTTTAGTATGCACTACAGAAGCTAATGTCACTTCTGTTATTTAATGTATTGGCTTAGCATTCAAATTCACACATAATTGTCACTCCCATCAGTGTTATACTGACAAAACATTCTGTTATATAAAAGAGGACTGTGCTTTTTTTTTAAATATTTATTGTTGATATTTTATACTAGAAAATAAAAGAGATAATCATCACTTCGGAGACAAAATATAAACTAGAGATATAATGATATGAAACTGTGATTTGATATTTTATCATATTGTGATCAATGTATAATTGATTGGAATTTCAGTGCTTGATAGATTTTAAGAAGTTAAAGCAAATAAATGTTTTTTCAGCAGGAAATTCAACCTATTTTTGCTTGACAGGACTGATCTTAGTCTGAAGCTCTATGAACATAAAATATTGTTACATTTGTAAACTATTGTTAATATTGCTGCTGCTGCAAAAATAAATTATAGCATCTGCTTTTTAATAGAGTTAAAGATTGTAGTGCTTCCTTAAGACGGGTGAAACAATTTTGTTGAATGAAAATAAATAAATTTAAATTTGTCTATTGCAATAAATTTGCTAATTGCTAAAACAAATACATGGAGAAGTCTCTCTTCTTTATATAACATCTCACTATAAACTTGTTTTATTTATATCTAGAAATTCTTATATCAAAAAAAAATTAATTAATTAAAGCATATATGTTGAAACTACTGTTTCCTTTTTTTTTTTTTTTTTTTTTTTTTTTTTTTTAATGTATTAGTTTTACTTTGAAAAAGTATTTCTTTAGTGTTATATTTAAATAAATGAGTTGTTTTAAATATTTTATGTAAAAAAGTAAAAGCTCAGGATTGAATATTTATTGTAAGACAATTTTGTTTTAATATAAAAAATCTTTAGTTTAGTATGAATTTTATCACCATATAAAAATTATATATTGTTTTGCACTTTTTATTTCTAATATGGAAAGAAAGAGATTTATATGTTTGACAAGTAATTAAAGACAATTAAATTTTTGTATACATTTTGACACATGTACAAATGGAGATTATTTTTCTTTTGAATATTTTCTGTAAATTGCTGCACTGCATTAGTTATTAGAATTTTTTTTAATTATCTATTTTCAAAGAATTTTCATTTGTGCATTTTATTGCAATCGTAAGTATTATTTAAGAATTTTTCCCTTATCAGTAAGATAATTTGAAATATGCTTTATAATGAAATTCATAAAATCATATACTTTCTTTTCTTTTTTTAGCCACCACCTGTAGCCAAAGAAACAGAATCTAAGCCAACTGTTAATTTAATGGAGATGCTGAATAAAATACAGAAAAACACTCTGGAAAGAAATAAAGCTGCAGTTGATACTAAACCACCTCAAGATAATTTTTGGCAAAATATCCTAATGGGAGCTGTTCCATCATCTCAGCCACTGATTCCAGCCTTGTCCACTGTATCTTCTGAATCTAAACGACGCACTCTGCTTCCAGATCCTCAACCTCTACCAGTGCCAGCTGTGAAAAAAGAGCCTGTGGTGCCTAAAGATCCTCGTCTAAAAAATCGTGATCCCCGTACATTAGCAAATTCCAATACTTCCAATAATGCAGCTAATGTTCCCAAGACTACTGCCTCAGAAACGAATAATTTATTGCTCAATACAACACCAGTGCAGGATATGAAATCTCTTCTTTCTAAAACAACTAGTGTAACAAGTGAACTTCCAAAAGAAAACATACCTTATAGACTACATGGCATCTATACTACACCACCTAATTATACTCCATATATTCATGCTAGTCAATCAAATCCCAAACTACTTGATGATCCCCGCCTTCGAAAGCATTTAAATCTTACGCAAAGTAATGAGAGCTCTTTAAAAAATACTAAAGAATTGGATCCAATAAAATCTGAGCCAAAAGATGTTCCTCCTATTCCTAAGTCATTGTTAAAGTATGAGAAACCAGATTCCTTGAATATAAATATTTTTGAAACTAGCTCTCTAAAATCATCAAATGAAGATGCTCAAGACTGTAAACCACAACCACCTAATATGCGAAAGTTAATAGATCCCCGTATCCGCCGACGGGATTCTCATAGTAATTCTGGATCTGACACTCCCCCGCATCTTACAATAGTTGAAACTAGTAGTCCATTACAGGAATTCAAAACTGCTCCTGTACTAGAAAATGCTCTATTAGATCCTGTTTTTGAGAAGAAATGGCTTCCTCCTGTTTTAGAAAAGAACTGGACACCTCCTGTTCTTGAAAAGAATTTGTATGATGTTGTTATCAAAAAAGAGATTGATTCTGACTCAGAAGACAGTCCTGATCCACCTCGACTAGAAATAAGCGAGAGTCCAATTGAAACTATATCCATATTATCTAAGAAAGAAGAAACAGTAAAATCTGAGAAAATGATGTCAGATAGAGACAAAAGTGTTCCACCATTAGTTTCTCCTCTTATCGTTAAAAGAGGAAAACCTACACCAGCAAGTCATCTTCCAAAAGCTATAGCGGATCCTCGAATGGCAAAATTACATCATCCTTTAGACCCTCGAAGACCTCGAGCAGCTTTTACAGATTCTAACAGCAAGGTAATTGTTGAGCGTAGAAAAGTAGAAAATGAAAGGCCTCCAGATAAAAATTCTATCAATGAATTAAAGAGCTCAGGTGATTTATCCCTTACAAAAAATGAGGGTAAAGAAACTGTTAATGCAGCTGAAACTGATGACAAGCAGAAGACAGTAAAGAATATACCAAAAAAGTGTAAACTTCCTGAGAAAAGTGAAGAGAAAAAGAAAACTGTACATCGTAATCGAAAAAGTAGCATGGACTATGCTTCCCCTCTCAATTCTTGTGATGATACAAACTCTAATAAAAGTTTGAATTATAACAGTTATAATCAGCGACCTAATCAAAGGACAGTTAAACCAATTACAGATACAGAATCACTTACATCCTCATCTGCTCCTGAAGTTTCAGAGAACACAATAATTTCGGACTATCTCTTGAGTGATAATTCAAACATCGAAGGTGATAATATCGATGTAAACTTAAAAGACATGTTTAAAACAATTGATCCTACAGCATCACCATTTTGTTAATTATATATTCCATGCAAATCTGTTACCGATGACCATGTATAAAGATGTACATAGGTTGATAATGGGTAAAACAAAATATTTTATATTGTTGCCTGTCTAAGAACTTTCTTTATGTTTTTGGAGATTTACAGCTTAAAGCTACAACTTTTTGTGATACACCAAACTTTGTTCCCAAAAATCGAAAATACATGTTGAAGAATGTTTTCTGAATTTTAATGATTTTTATATAAGACTATACTATGAATGTAGGGAATAAATCATTATTTATTTTTTATTAATTTTCTTATAGGCAGTGAACAATGTTTGATCTTGACCACTTACAATTTGTTAATAGCTTCTGTATCAATACTCAACATTCAATTCTGTATCTTACTGTAGCTTCTGTATATGTATGTTAACTTTTCCCTTTCTTCTATGCTTTTAAGTTATTAAATCTGGTCACTCTAAACTAAATTTTAAATTTAGTTGTATGCATATGTCAAGCATAATTAAGATGTACTTTTTTTTTTTTTTTTTTTTTCTTCTTTTTCTTCTCTCTCTCTCTTTTTTTTTTTTTTTTTTTGTTTTTTTTTTTTTTTTTTTTTTTTTTTTTTTTTTTTTTTTTTTTTTTTTTTTTTTTTTTTTGTTATTTTTTTTTTTTTTTTTTTTTTTTTTTTTTTTTTTTTTTTTTTTTTGTTTTTTTTTTTTTTTTTTTTTTTTTTTTTTTTTTTTGTTTGTTTTTTTTTTTTTTTTTTTTTTTTTTTTTTTTTGTTTTGTTTTTTTTTTTTTTTTTTTTTTTTTTTTTTTTTTTTTTTTTTTTTTTTTTTTTTTGTTTTTTTTGTCTCTTTTTTTTTTTTTTTTTCCTTCTTTCTCTCTCTCTCTTTTTTTTTTTCTTTTTTTTTTTTTTTTTTTTTCCCCCCCCCCACTGGTAGAGGGAATAAGAAAATCATTTAAACATTAAAATGAACTGTAAATGTATAATTGCTGTAATTGGAAAAGAGCAGTAGAAACATTACTAAAAAAGTACATAGCGGTAAAGAATAAATAGAGTTTTGAATTGTTTCTCTTTCATATTTAGCCTTAATAAATGAGGAATTATTTTTATTTTAAAGTGAAATAAAAGTGTCCATTTTAATCTCCAGAACTCAGAAAATATTTAAAATATATATATCATTTCCATAAATTTTGTTTCAGATAGATATTTTGAAAAAATATCAGATTTCTAATTCTTAAAATATCCTTATTATGTGCTTCATAACTTATTTTTTTAATATACACTAGTGAAATTATGTTGATCTATGTTTTATCTTTCTCTTTTTTTTATATATGTATTTATATAAATATATGTATGTACATGTTTCAATTGCTAATTTGCTAATATATTCAGATAATATTTATCAGATTAATATTAATTCTCTAAAAGTTAACACTCGGGTTTACTGTAATGAAAGAGTAATGTATTTTTAAAAGTCTAGAAGTCAGACTATATTATGATACTTATAATCTGTCTAATCAATGCCATGAAAGATTCTTTTATACGTTTATTTTTGTACTGATTATTGTATTATAATTATCTAATCAACAAGATATTTGTTTAATAATACAAATACATCACAACTGATAAAAAAAAATTTTAACAGGATTGTGAAAATTTGTAAAGAATTGGGTTTGGCTAAATTTTAATTTGGGGTATTGACTGCTCATAGTGGCCACATTAAACTGTTTGACTTTCAGATTAGCTTCTTTATTAAAATATTAATGATAAAAAAACTTAAGCATGAGAGTAATTATTTATTCAATAACAAGTCCAATAGTATTGCGTATAAACAATATATGTAAATAAAGAAAATATTATGGAGTATTATTTATATGTATATATATAGTATAAACCATATTTTATATTTCCATAAAATTACTTATTACATAAAACTAAAACTTTTACAACTCTTTTGTGTTGCAGAGGATTCAAATAAGATTGTTTGTATCATTATTTATTTTGCATTGTTTATATTTGTATAAGTTTAACTTCTCTTTCGAAGTTAAAGTGACTGTGAAATTGGATTATACATGCTCAAAGATAAGTGTATATTCTTGTATATGTGTAACTTCCGAATAGGTTTCATACTGACTTGTCAATAAAAGTAACTTTTTATTTGTTTTCAAAAATGTGTTTGAATTACTGAGTTCTGATATTATAATTAGGTATAAAATATGATTATAGCCTGTCATTACGGTTATGTTAGATATGTTCTATGTGGCTTGACTCATCAGAATAGCTCGTTGAATTATTTTGTTTATTAAAGGAATTATATACATCTGTACATCAGCAAGGAAATCATGAAACACACTGGCATTGCATTCGCTCATGCTGTTTTCTAACTGACGCTTGTCAATCAGCCCCTTCTAATGGTGGCTTTCTTCTAATGCCATCTGTCGGCAGATTACAGTTGTATAATGAAAACTCTTCATTATCCTACTGGCACCTCGAGATTTTAAGTGTAAAATAAAGCACTGTATATTGTTATATTAATAGGTAAATTATTTATAAAAAAACTAAATTAAACTAATATAAATATATGTTTAAAAATTGACTAGACAAATTTGAATCAACAGTAACCTTCAAAATGTCCTCAGATAAAAATTAATATTGTGTTGGAAAGAAAGTAGTTTTGGTTCGAACAAATAGATAGCATTATGCGTGTTTTGTTATTATTCTGGAAATCATATATATATTAGATTTGGCAACTCGCACTTCTAGGTTGCTATAGAAACAAGTTTCGTTATGTTTGTTTATAACTGTTAGATTACAGTTAAGATTTTTGACAAATTTTACTTTTTTGTTTTCCTAAAGGCAAGAATGCAACTAAGGCTCACAAAGAGATGTGGAGTTTATGGTGGTGGTTGCTTAATAGGATATACAGAGTGATCAGCAAATAAGCCCTGATTTCAAAATTAAATATCTCTACAACAAAGATTGATAGAATTATGCAATAAACTGTACGTTTATTAGCAAAACTTGGCTAGTGAAAAGAGGCTAACGTAGAAAGTGAAATAATGTATTCCATTGAACAACGTGTATTTTGGTTCTGGAATTTCACCGATTAGAATATAGTCCTACGGCAACACGTTACAGTTTTCAAAATCGATTCAATCTTCCAATTGGATGTGATGCAAAAACCATTCGCATGCTCTTCACGAAATTCGAATGGACTGGCAGCGTGGCTGATGATCGAAAGGGAAATGTTGTTCCTAAGCAAACTATAGTCACTCCTGAAAATGCTGCCAAAGTTTCTGGATTTGTTCAGCAAAATCGTAGGAAAAGCATCCGACGGATTGTATCAGAGACAGGTTTGAAGTACACGAGCACACAAAAAATATTTAAAAATAGCCTACAGCTGTTTCATCAGGCCATACTCATGAAAGCTGTTCAACAAAGGGTTGACTTTGCGAATCAGATTCTAACACTGATTGACAATGACAGATTTGATGTGAGTTGCATCTGGTTCACAGATGAGGCACATTTTCATTTGAATGGAATCGTTAATAAACAAAACTAGAGATTTTGGGTACCGAAAATCCTCCTCATTTGTGTGAAAAAAAGCACTGCATTCGCCTAAAGTTATGGCATGGGCTGCGGTATGCACTAGAGGCATTATCGGACCCTTGAAAGACGCTGTCTATCGAAATAATCCTGCTACTCTAGATGAGCTTAAATCGTTGATTGGTGTTGCATGTGATTCCATTTTCCATCGAGACATTGCAAGACGTGATGTCAAATTTCATTATTCGTTTACGCCAACCTCATTGTTTCGAATGGTGAACATTTTGAAAAAATTGTATTTTGATTGCAAAGGCTCTCCTTTATTCATTGGGAAAGAGTTTTACTCCTTTCAGAGAAAAGTTTTCGGCGCAGAGCGCCATCTGTTTAACGATTTTCGAAACTAAATTTTCTAAACTTTTGTACACGATTTTTACAGTTTTACTAATAATTTTACAGTTTTACTAATAAGTTTACCGCATAATTCTATCGATTTTTGTTGTAGAGGTATTTAATTTTGAAATCAGGGCTTATTCGCTGATCACCCTGTATGTGCCAGAATTGGTTTAAAAAATTCTGTTTCGTAACTTTTCACATGAAAGTGATCAACTTTCTGGCCATCCAGCTGAAGATGATGATAAAATTAAAGCCATGATTTAATCAAATAGGTCATATAATTGTACAAGACATCACAGAAAGGTTAAAGGTCACATAGGATGTCTTGAGCTCATTAAGAAGCTCGATATTTAGATTCTGCATAAATTGAAAAAAAAATTCACGTAAGACAACGAATCAGTATTTTGAATACCCATTTCAAATGTAATGCAGTCGAAACTTTTTTGTACAATTTATCACAATGATGGAAAATGGTTTCATCTATTATAACATCAATCGAAAATGACTGTGGTCCAAGCATGGTGAATCGGTAAAATTCGTATCGAAAGCTAAACTATATTATGAAGAGTTCATGCTGTCAATTTGGTGGGATTACAAGGGTTTTGTGTATTTTAAGCTGCTTCTATGCAACCCAACAATCAACTGAGATGTTTATTGCCAACAACTTATGAAACTGGAGGAAGCAATCAAAGAGAAAAGGTTAGAATTGACAAATCATGTTCCGACATGACAATGCGATGTCTTGCATGTTTTCAGCATTGCATTATGACATTAGTGGAACTTGGTTGGGAAGAGAGATCATACCCCAACTTTGCACCATTGGATTGTCATTTATTTCGAAATTTACAAAACATCTTAAATGGCAAACATTTCAGCAATAATGATGACCTCGACTGGCACCTGGTTGAGTTTTTTTTTCTTTTGGTGATAAACTTCTTTACCATATGAGGAATGGAACTATTTTCTATGAGTGCGGGATCATGAAGTTACCAGAAAGATGGCAAATGGTCATTGAACACAATGGAAGATATTTGACTGATTAAAGTTAATTTTTTGTGTAGAAAAAATTGACTTCTATTTCACACGAAAAACCGAAATTACTTTCTTGCTAACCCAATGAATAAAATGTATATTTGATTACCAGTAATAGTTCTGCATACAAAAGTATTGATTATTACAAAACAAGATTTGGATTCTCACACTGTCATATATACATGTAGCATAGTTATTGTAATTTCCATTTGGAATATGATTAATTTCATGTCCATTATTTTATTACACCTAATGCTTTACTTTAACTCAGGGGCGTAGCTAGGGTTTCCAGCGCCCGGGGACAACTCAGGAATTTGCGCCCCTTTCTGTGTGCCAAGAATGGAAAATATTTCATTAGAAAATTTCGTAGCATCAATTTGGCGCCCCCTTAGATGCTGCGCCCAGGGACAGATGTCCCCTCTTGCCCCACCCTAGCTACGCCACTGCTTTAACTTGTATCATTGTTGTACCTATAGAGTTATGCAACGATCAAGTTGTAGAACACTATATGTACAACAACTTGAGAGAAGTCAAGACCTGACCTGATTTGTCAAATTAGATAGTAACAAGCATTCTCATTATTGAAGGGAATTTATAATATTGTTACGTT